CAGAGGCTGTTTTGGGTGTGGGCAAGGAGACAGGGGCCCCATGATCCCCTATTGCCCGGGGCCCCCATGAGTTGTCAGTCTGCCCCTGCCCAGAGGAAACCCACACGAACACAGGGAGAACATGCAAACTGCATGCAGGAGGTGCCATGGTTGGGAATCAAACCCATGACCCAATTACTACGGTAGAAGTGCTAACTACTAAGCCACTGTGCCACCCACCATGTAGTAGAGATATGTCCAGGGGGGTGGACTGACAACTCATGGGGCCCCCAGGCAATAGGGGATCATGGGGCCTCTGTGTCTTTGCCCAAACTCAAAAAAGCCTATGAAAAAGGTACCAGTGGCATCTCATGGGGCCCCCTACTGACCCCTGGCCCTCGGGCAGTGCCCGAGTTTCCAAATGGTCAGTCCGCCCCTGGATATGTCAGATTTGGCCTGGGGGGGGGGGGGTCAAGTGGTGAAGGTTTAAAAAACGTTGAATCGGTCACTAATTCCGGAAAACAGCGATTGTGTTTGCTGTGTGTATTGTTACTATGTAATCTCTATGGAGTGGAGAGGTGGTCACCATGGCTCGGGTGCAGTCCGTTTGCACTCCATGGGACTTGGCAACAGAGATAACTTTCAAAATGTTGTTTATTCAGTAAATGATGCTTTTGAATGTTATCTCTGTTGCCAAGTCTTGTGGAATGCATCTATTTATGGATTATTTCATCGATATAGGATTTACGTTGTTGCAACTTTTAACCATCATTTTTTTTTTTCTTTTAAAGTCCGCCATACATGGATCAAAATTCAGCATGTCCGGCAGGTAGACATGTGCATGTCGGAAATTTTCATTTTGATTTGTTTCGGATGCATTCATTCATTGCAGAATTTTGTTTCATATTATTCATTATGTTGAACAGATTTGTTTTTTCGGAATTCGTTTTGTATACACTCACCGGCCACGTTATTAGGTCCACCTGTTGAATGGCTTGGTAACACTAATTGCTAATCAGCCAATCACATGGCAGCAACTCAATGTATTTAGGCATCTAGACGTGGTGAAGACGACTTGCTGAAGTTCAAACCGAGCATCAGAATGAGGGATAAAGGTGATCTAAGTGATTTTGAACGTGGCATGGTTGTTGGTGCCAGACGGGCTGATCTGAGAATTTAAAAAAACTACTGATCTACTGGGATTTTCACACACAACCATCTCTAGGGTTTACAGAGAATGGTCCGAAAAAGAGAAAATATCCAGTTGTGTGGAGGAAAATGCTGAGGTCAGAGGAGAATGGGCAGACTGGTTCCAGATGATAGAAAGGCAACAGTAACTCAAATAACCACTCGTTACACCCAAGGTATGCAGAATACCATCTCTGAATGCACAACACATCCAACCTTGAAGCAGATGGGCTACAGCAGCAGAAGACCACACCGGGTGCCACTCCTGTCAGCTAAAAACAGGAAATGGAGGCTGCAATTCGCACAGGATTACCAAAATTGGACAACAGAAGATTGAAAAAAAACGTTGCCTGGTCTGATGAGTCTGGATTTCAGCTGCGACATTCAGATGGTAGGGTCAGAATTTGCAGTAAACAACATGAAAGCATGGATCCATCCTGCCTTGTATCAACGATTCAGGCTGGTGGTGGTGGTGTCATGGTGTGGTGGATCCATCGTGCCTTGTATCAATGGTTCAGGCTGGTGGTGGTGGTGTCATCATCATGGTGTGGTGGACCCATCCTGCCTTGTATCAATGGTTCAGGCTGGTGGTGGTGGTGTCATGGTGTGGTGGACCCATCCTGCCTTGTATCAACGGTTCAGGCTGGTGGTGGTGGTGTCATGGTGTGGAGGATCCAACCTGCCTTGTATCAACGGTTCAGGTTGGTGGTGGTGGAGTGTCATGGTGTGGTGGATCCATCCTGCCTTGTATCAACGGTTCAGGCTGGTGGTGGTGGCGTCATGGTGTGGTGGATCCATCCTGCCTTGTATCAACGGTTCAGGCTGGTGGTGGTGGTGTCATTGTGTGGTGGATCCATCCTGCCTTCTATCAGTGGTTCAGGTTGGTGGTGTCATGGTGTGGTGGATCCATCCTGCCTTGCATCAACGGTTCAGGTTGGTGGTGGTGGTGTCATGGTGTGGTGGATCCATCCTGCCTTGCATCAATGGTTTAGATTTGGTGGTGGTGGTGTCATGGTGTGGTGGATCCATCCTGCCTTGTATCAACGGTTCAGGTTGGTGGTGGTGGTGGTGTCATGGTGTGGGGGAGATTTTCTTGGCACTAGCAAGGTGGACCTAATAAAGTGGCAGGTGAGTGTATTTGTTGGCCCAGTTGGATAAAAAAAAATGTTTAATTTTTTTCAGATTCCTATATTTTAGTTTTAGGTTTCGATTTTCCAGGCAAATTCATTATTCATTAAATATCGATAGATGCAACAGAATAAATATAATGCAAAATTCGGCGGCCTCAAATTTTTCAATTGTATTGGACTGTGGAACTGTATTGACAATTACAAATTCAATTTAAATTGCAAATTTACTTGAATCCGAATGATCAAACAAATTTGAAAATTGAATCCATTTCCCCATGGACCTGAACTACTATCGCATCATGTGACGTCATCCGAATGAAACGTATGCATTTGTTGATCTTGTTCAAACTATTTTCGCATCCATTGACATACATTACTATGTCCATTTGGAGATTTGTATTCATCCGAATCTCCGAAAATCAAATTTTCGTCTGAAAGTCATTTTGTAACGAAACGCACATGTCTACCAGCAGGGACGAGGCAAATTTCTATTCATGTATGGGGACAGTGGTTGAACAGAAGTCCATCTACCAATACAACCACCTTGTCAGGTTATCTCCAATCAATCAACATAGTTACGTAGTTACATAGATAGTCTGGCTGAAAAAAGACAAAAGTCCATCCAGTTCAACCATTAAAAAAAAAAGTTATAATCCTACACCCACAGTTGATCCAGAGGAAGGTGAAAAACCCAGCAAAGCACGATCCAATTTGCTCCTGCTGGGGAAAAAAATTCCTTCCTGATCCCCCGAGAGGCAATCGGATATTCCCTGGATCAACTTTACCTATAAATGTTATATCCAGTTATATTCTGTGTATCCAAGAAAGAATCCAGGACTTTCCTACAGCAATCCACTGAGCTGGCCACAACCAACTCTTGAGGGAGTCTATTCCACATTCTCACAGCTCTTACTGTGAAGAAACCTTTCCATATTTGGAGATTAAATGTCTTTTCCTCCAGACGTAAAGAGTGCCCCCTTGTCCTCTGTGATGACCTCAGGGTGAATAACTACACCGAGTTCACTATATAAACCACTGATGTTGACTATGGCCAGCAGCATGGATTAGTCACCCCACCGTCAGAATACAAGGCCTCTGAGAAGAATCTATAGGCTGCCTTAGTTTTGGATAGTATTGGGAAGGATTAGAACCTCTGCCCAGAGCTGGGACAAGGGATGGGCGCAAGGGCGGACTGACCATTTGGGAACTCGGGCACTGCCCGAGAGCCCGGGGTCAGTAGGGGGCCCCATGAGATGCCCCTGGTACCTTTCATAGGCTTTTTTGAGTGTGGGCAAGGACATAGGGGCCCCATGATCCCCTATTGCCCGGGGGCCCCATGAGCTGTCAGTCCGCCCCTGGATGGACGTAAGGGGCAGCTGCCCTGAGCACAATGGTTTGCTGTAGAGATGGGGGCGCCTTCCTTCTGTCACATGGGACAGGAGTCATGACAGTGGCAGTACTTTTGACAACCGAGTGACTTCTTGGCATAGGATCCCCTAAGCTTGCACATCATGAGCTGCCGGGGGAAGGGGGGGCCTTGCGCAGTTTGGTATCTTTGCCCTGGGTGCTGGATGGCCTTGTCCCGGCACTCTGCCAGATTTTACTGTTAACCAGGGCTCTTTTAGAGAGATTTCACCACCTTTCCTGTTTGGGTGACTGCCTTACCAGGCAGCAAGTAGGGGAAAGCTGTCCAACAGGAACACAGACAGAAGTAAATGCTTTTTTTTTCTAAGTAGCGGAAGGCTAGAGCCTCTTTCGGCTGTCTGTTTTCCTGTTGCAGATTTTCCTTTACTTCCTGCCTGAAAAAAAAATGGTGTCACTAGAACAGGAAGTGAGAAGAAATCTCTGTAACGAAGCCCCAGATAGCAGCAGAGCCTGACAGGGGTTCTTATGTTTTCCACTCCCTCCAAAGTGAGGAAAAAAGATTTTGGCTTTAAAGGTATAGCAGAGTATATTCTATAGTGTCTTAAATTGTTGGGTTTGCATCAGGGGCGGACTGGCAACTCATGACAACTCAATAGGGGATCATGGGGTCCCTGTGTCCTCGCCCACACCGAAAAAAGCCTATGAAAAAGCCAATGAAAGGTACCAGGGGCGTCTCATGGGGCCCCCTACTGACCCCGGGCCCTCGGTTAGTGCCCGAGTGCTCAGTTGGTCAGTCCGCCCTGGTTTGCATACACTTGCCAAATATTTTAAACTTCATTTATTGGCCATTGTTGTGATTTAAACACCTCTGACACTTCATATAGCCATGCCGGTCTTTACGACCTGCAGCTCTGCAGCTGTACCCACTCCTCAGCCCCCAGTGCCTGAAACACATTGGGATTCCAGCGTTGTGCTATTCAGTGGAGTCTGGTTGGTTGATAGTGAAGGAGCTCACATTCTTAGCCTGGTTTCTGGAAAGAAGAGGAGTATGAGAAATTAGGTTGGATAAAGACGCACCAGTTCTGCCTTACTTGGTTCTACAAGCTATTCTATTGATTGATATTATTTTTTTCATTTTATGTTAGTTTTTTATTTTATTTAACTTTTTATTTTAGTTCCATTTTATTTTATTTTTTTTATTTTATTTAGTATTTTTTTTTTTTTTTTAGTTTATTATGTTACATTTTTTATATTATTGTAGGCCATCGTTGTGGCCTTCCCTCAGTTAGGGATAATTGTACTCTTAAATCGTGACTTTCTTTTTTTTGGGGGCTTTAGGAAGAAGAGCTTCAAGATCATCAGGTCTCAGTCCCTCCACCTCCAGATGCCATCAGTTGACTGGAAGGCTCCCGCCACCATCTCACCTCTCCCATCACCAGTAACTCCTGTCCAACCTCCTCTGCCCGTCCTACGAGGCCCGATACAGGCTGTTCAGGCTCCCTACGAAGTCCTGGACTTCCAGCGAGTGACCATTAGTGGAGATTATTGTGCTGGGGTAAGGAAGGACACTCATTAATGTTCATCTCTAAGGCTTGAAAAACTCAACATATGTGCATCCACAACTCCAAGCTGTAACTCTTTTCAAGAGATGGGTACTTTTGTAGACTTCAAACAAAAACCAGACATTGTTATTCTTCCCTACTCAAAAAAACCCAAAACATAATATAAAGTGCTGATCCTGGCACCTGGTCCTAGACAGCTTCATGACCAACCACCCATCTATCTGCTCACAGGGGGACATTATTATTATTATTATACAGTATTTATAAAGCGCCAATGGTTCGCTCAGCGCTGTACATTACAAAGCGGGACAGAACATGTGACAGAACAATACCAATACAATGCAAAACATGAGGGGATCTAGGGCCCTCCTCTTTCGAGCTTACAATCTAGGAGGGAGGGGGTGGTGGTACAGGAGGAGATAGCTGTGGGGGATGGAGTGGTAGGAAGAGTGGAGGAGGTCGGCAGGTTAGCAGGGGGTGGGGTTGGCTTCCCTGAAGAGATGGGTTTTCAGGGTGCGCCTAAAGGATAGGAGAGTAGGTGATAATCTGATGGGTTGGGGCAGGGAGTTCCAGAGGATGGGTGACACCCTGGAGAAGTCCTGGAGGCGGGCATGGGAGGAGGAGACCAGGGAACTAGAGAGAAGTCTTGTGAGGAGCGGAGTGTGCGTGCTGGGCGGTACTTGGATATTAGGTCAGTGATGTAGTTTGGGGCAGTATGGTGGACAGCTTTGTACATCAGCGTTAGGATTTTGAATTTGATCCGTTGCGCAATCGGAAGCCAGTGGAGGGATTGGCAGAGGGGGGTGGAGGACACTGAGTGGAGGCCAGTGGAAGGATTGGCAGAGAGGGGTGGAGGCCAGTAGAGGGATTGGCAGAGGGGGGTGGAGGCCAGTGGAGGGATTGGCAGAGGGGGTGGAGGACACTGAGTGGAGGCCAGTGGAAGGATTGGCAGAGGGGGGTGGCGGAGATGGAGCGGTTGGAAAGGTGAATGAGTCTGGCAGCCGTATTCAGGATGGACTGAAGCGGGGATAGCCAGCGGTGAGGCAGGCCAGTAAGGAGGGAGTTGCAGTAATCGAGTCGTGATATGATGAGGGAGTGGATGAGCTGTTTAGTGGTTTCTGGGGTTAGGAACGCACATATTTTGGCGATGTTGCGGAGGTGGAGTCTGCACGAGTTTGTTAAAGATTGGACTTGGGGCTGGAAGGATAGATTGGAGTCGAGAATGACACCAAGTACTCTGGCCTGAGGGGCGGGTTTGATGGTGGCGTTGTTGGATGTGATGGAGAAGTCAATGGGGGGTGGTGTCCAGGCTGGGGGGAAGACAAGAAACTCGGTTTTGGAGAGGTTCAGTTTAAGGACATGGAATAGGGTACATTTCTTTATATGGTGGACTTGCCCTATTGTGTGGAAATTTTGGACCAGACAATACATAATATACAGTATATACTAAATGGTAAAAATTGTGTAAAAAAAAACCCCCCCTGCAAAGCCTTAGTACATGGTGGATATGCCCTATTGCATGGAAATCTGGACCAAAGTATACCATGTGATCTATGTTTATATGGTTACCATATAAAAACCCAACAAAGTCCTATTAAACTGAAAAGTATACATTTTAGCTTCTAAACCAGGGATCTCTAAATTTTCTAAACAAATGGCCAGTTTACTGTCCTTCAGACTTTGAAGGGGACGAACTCTGGCAAGAGAGAGTAAAAGATACCCTGTAAGCAATACCTCATCATTGGCGTTCATGGGAGCTACAGTACCCCATTACTGGTATCAGAGGAAGGAATAGTGTCCCATCATTGGTGTCACTAAGAGAAATGGTGCCCCATTGTTGGTGTCAGTGGGAGGAATGGTGCCCCATTGTTGGTGTCAGTGGGAGGAATGGTGTCCCATTGTTGGTAACAGGGGAAGGAATAGCGCCCCATCATTGGTGTCAGTGAGAAGAATGGTGCCCCATTGTTGGTGTTGGTGAGAGAAATGGTGGCCCATCATTGTTGTCAGTGGGAGGAATGGTGGCCCATCTTTTATGTCAGTGGCAGGAATTATTCCCCACAGCCCATGAATGGTGCCCTGTATCAATGGGAAAAAAAGTGCCCAAAGGGCAGGATAAAGGCAAGCAAAGGGCTGCAAGAGTGTTTGAAGACCACTGTTCTAATCCATTTGTTCACTGCTGCTAAACAAATAAAAGCCACATTTTGGGAAACAACTTAGAGTCTCCAAAGTAAAAGCCAAGCTATCACAAACCAGGGTCTTTGAAAAAATTACGTTCAGACTTACTGATAAAATGGAGCTATACAAAACAGTTTGGGAACATTAGGTGCTATGTCCCTCCCCCTCCCCTCCGAAACTTTGATAGACACCTACTGATGCTCTAAACCTGTCCAGTAACCAGGAAGTCAAACATTTTCCATCCATGTTCACCTACCCATCCATCCCGCACTATCTCTGTCTTCATCCATCTACATACCTGCTTGCTGACTTGGCCTATGCTTCTATTACATCTCTTCAAGTGGTCCTTTGGGGACCTTTTGCGCATTTTGGCCTAAATTTATGTCGAAATTTGATTTTTAAAATTTTTTTACTGAACATGTTTACTAGCAAAAAGTCCAAAATATTGTTTTTTTTTCTCAAAAGTGTCGGTCTTTTTTTTGCTTTTAGTGCAAGAAATAAGAAACGCACAGGTGATCAAATACCACCAAAAGACAAAAAGGACGTAAATGTTTGGATGCAGCGTTGCATGACCCGTGCAATTGTCCGTTAAAGTTTACGCAGAGCCGTAATGCAAAAAATGGCCTGGTCATGAAGGGGGGGTAAATCCTCAGGAGTGCAAGTGGTTAAGGCCTTGTGTCCATGCAGCCGCTGCATCCTGTCAGGACCTAGATCACCTGCTGGTGGCACTGTACTTCCCAGAGGGGAACTTTATCATTCCAGTGTCCACCACCTAGCAGCAAGCAAATCCCAGTAATCAGCTCCACATGGTGCTGACTGCTGGGCGGGTATTTAGTCTTTCAGTGTTTTGCTGGCTGCCAGATACTGCTAGCTGTTATTCTGTTCCTGCCCTGTATGCTGTACCCTGTATCCTACTGCCTTGTACCTGCTCCTCTTGTTTCTGATTCCAGTCCTGGTCCCCCCCTTCCTTGTAGCTCCAGTTTTACCCTGTGATCTGTGTTCCTCATTTTGTATATATTGTATTATTTATTTCAGGTACTTATATAGCACCATTACTTTACACAGCCCTTTACATATATATTGTACATTCACATCAGTCCCTAACCCTCAAGGGGTGTACAATCTAAGGTATTATAGTTAGGTTGTTAGGTATTTTGTCACTTGTTTCACTGTTAATAAACTTGCTTAAAGCATTTATAGTATTACTCAGTTTCCTAAGTATAGTCATGCAGATCTGACCATCTCTGCTGCTGATTCCTGACATAACACCGAAGCAAGGTGCAACAGCAGGATGAGTAACTAAATAACCTCCCAGCAGCCAGCACCAGGTGGAGCTGATTACGGGGATCTGCTGGCTCCTGGGAGACACCTGCTGGTGAACACTGAAACTACAACCTTTGACTCTGGGAAGCACAGTGCCACCAGCAGATGAACTAGGTCCTGACACATCTCATTAGACAACAATAGGACTGCCAGTATGGGAATGCACACTGCACCTGTGCATTGTATTCCTCTGCCAGTAAAACATGGCCCTGTGCGGTGCAAGGATTTAATTGTCTCATCTAAACGAGGCCTAATGGTGCAAAAAAAAAAAAAAGGTTTTGACAACTATATTCTTATGCCAGGGTTCCTGCACCGGAAATGAAAGAAGAAGGGGGAAAAAAATAACAAACTGACTTTAAAATATTCCAAGGGAGGTCAAATTGCATTGAATCTCTTTCACAGGTGACAGTTGATGATTATGAGCAAGCTGCCATCAAGCTCGCCAAAGCCCTGCTCATACGAGAAAAATACTCGCGGCTGGCGTACCATCGATTCCCCAGAACCACTGCTCAGTATTTGTGTGCGGCAAACAATGAAACCTGGAAAGAGGAAGACGAGGTGTACCCAGGTAGAGACTTTCTTCTATCTTTATAACGAATAGGAAACCATAAGGCCCTGGTGCCCAACCTGCAGCCCTTTGGCACTTTTTGTGCAGCCCTCAGGGCCCCTGCAGACATTAATCTGTGTTTTCTTATTGCCCTGTTATAGCAGTCATGTAATATTTTTCCAGTTCATGACTGTCTCCTAAAGAATGTCTCTTATCTCCAACAACATGTGATGTGTCATGCCTGCAGCCTCTGACCATCTCCTGTATCATGTCCTCAGTCTCTGACCTTCTCTTATATCATTTCTACAGTCTCTGACCATCTCCTGTATCATATCCTCAATCTCTGACCATCTCCTGTAACATATCCTCAATCTCTGACCATCTCCTGTATCATGTCCTCCGTCTTTGACCATCTCCTGTATCATGTCCTCCGTCTCTGACCATCTCCTGTATCATGTCTTCCATCTCTGACCAACTCCTGTATCATGTCCTCCATCTCTGACCATCTCCAGTATCATGTCCTCCATCTCTGACCATCTCCAGTATCATGTCCTCCATCTCTGACCATCTTCAGTATCATGTCCTCCATCTCTGACCATCTCCAGTATCATGTCCTCCATCTCTGACCTTCTCTTATATCATGTCTGCAGTCTCTGACAATCTTTTGTATCATGTCTTCAGTCTCTGACCATCATCATGTCCCCTTTAAGTGAACTTTCTTTCAGCTTCAGTGATCGCCAACTATGGTGGTCCTAAATGAATAGCGTACATCCCCATCTTGCTGGAGGTTAATTTCCCTCTCTATTTTAACATTTTATGTATCTTTTTTTTTTATAGAGTTCAACCCTCCACCCGGGGACGAGGATCCGTACAGCCTGGAGAACGTCCCGTCAAATCTTCACTACGAGGTGAGAATGAAGGGTGGGATCCCCTACGTCTATGACAACAAAGAGATGGCTGAAGCTAATGAGCCCCGCAGTCTGCCATACCCCGACCTGGAGACCTACACACTGGACCTCAGCCACATCCTGGCGCTCATTGCCGACGGTCCCACGTAAGTTGTGTTAAGTTACGTCTGGCTCAGTACAAAGCTAACACATCAGGATCAAATTATTCTCAAAAAGTGATTTATTTTCAGCTGAAATTTGCAAAATTATTCACAAGACTAAACAAATAAAAAAAAAACAAAAAAAAAACTGATTAAAAAAACGTTTACTTAAGGTGTTACTAAACCCAAAACAGTACAATCGGTCTGTAGATGCAGTAAAGCGTGCTTGTTATACTCACTGTGGAACCTAAGGGGTTAATCCTCCTCATTGTGTAAAAAAGGCTGTTTGATCCTGTATTCTCTGATCCTCCCCTTCTTCTACTGTCCCCAATCCATCTGTTGATAGTACAGAGCTCTAGGAGTCACTCAGCACATGCTCAGTTTAGTGTTTATGGCTAGAATGTTTTGTTTTTTTTTCTTTTGGAGGGGCATGTGATCAGCACAGGGCCAATCAGCGCTGTCCAGACAGAGGACCAGGGGTTATGCAGCCTCATAAGACTGTCAGAGGAGAATGAAAACTCCTCCTACAAGCTTTAACATCTGCTCATCTGGACATTGATAGAAGTCACAAGACTGCTATATACTGCTGATTAGAAAAGGTATTTAGCAGTTTATTTTTGCTAAAATAATTGCATTTCCATGTTCTGTGTATTGTGGGAGATCGGATATAGTGAATGCAGGGTCCGGGGAGACCGGATATAGTGAATGCAGGGTCCGGGGAGACCGGATATAGTGAATGCAGGGTCCAGGGAGACCAGATATAGTGAATGCAGGGTCCAGGGGGAGAGCGGATATAGTGAATGCAGGGTCCGGGGAGAGCGGATATAGTAATGAATGCAGGGTCCGGGGAGAGCGGAAATAATGAATGCGGGGTCCGGGGAGAGCGGATATAGTGAATGCAGGGTCCAGGGAGAGCAGATATAGTGAATGCAGGGTCCGGGGAGAGCGGATATAGTGAATGCAGGGTTCAGGGAGACCAGATATAGTGAATGCAGGGAACAGGGAGAGCGGATATAATGAATGCAGGGTCCAGGGAGACTAGATATAGTGAATGCAGGGTTCAGGGAGACCAGATATAGTGAGTGCAGGGTCCGGGGAGAGCGGATATAATGAATGCAGGGTCCGGGGAGAGCGGATATAATGAATGCGGGGTCCGGGGAGAGCGGATATAATGAATGCGGGGTCCGGGGAGAGCGGATATAATGAATGCGGGGTCCGGGGAGAGCGGATATAATGAATGCAGGGTCCAAGGAGATCGGATATAGTGAATGCGGGGTCTGGGGAGAGCAGATATAGTAAATGCAGGGTCCAGGGAGATCGGATATAGTGAATGCAGGGTCCGGGGAGAGCGGATATAGTGAATGCAGGGTTCAGGGAGATCGGATATAGTGAATGCAGGGTCCAGGGAGATCGGATATAGTGAATGCAGGGTTCAGGGAGATCGGATATAATGAATGCAGGGTCCAGGGAGACTAGATATAGTGAATGCAGGGTTCAGGGAGACCAGATATAGTGAATGCAGGGTCCAGGGAGAGCGGATATAATGAATGCAGGGTCCAGGGAGAGCGGATATAATGAATGCAGGGTCCAGGGAGACCGGATATAGTGAATGCGGGGTCCAGGGAGGCCGGATATAGTGAATGCAGGGTCCGGGGAGAGCGGATATAGTGAATGCAGGGTCCGGGGAGAGCGGATATAGTGAATGCAGGGTCCGGGGAGACCGGATATAGTGAATGCAGGGTCCGGGGAGAGCGGATATAGTGAATGCAGGGTCCGGGGAGAGCGGATATAGTGAATGCGGGGTCCGGGGAGAGCGGACATAGTGAATGCAGGGTCCGGGGTTTAGTAACACTTTAAGTACATTTTACAATATATACCAAATACAAAAAGAAATAAAACAAGGTTGTAGCCTATTCCATTTTTCTGTTTTCAAATCACAAGAAAAGCAATGGTGGTTTCTGTCACCTGCAAAAAGGTGAGGACTGAAATTTCCTTTAATTAAATGTAGAGCAATACAATAACTTTCAACAACGTTTGCTATATTTTTCCATTTTTGATTTTATTTCAGCTTTTAATTGGTATTTTTTTAATTCAAACTATCAATAAACTGGATTGAAGCTGTCTATTGATCGCCCACTGTTGACTTTACCATTGCCCAAATGTTGGCGGTCGATTGTTTAGTTTCTAATGATTACTTTTAGTAGTGGTGGAATGTGGTTGAAATGGAGTGAAAACTTCCAAGCCAGATGAAAAGCAACATTCACACGGACGGACGCAGGCTTGTTGGGTTGTTTACAAATTTTTACTGCACAGCTCAGGGAGAACCGGCCAAGTAGCAGTAGCTAATAAACTTCTTGGAAGCAACACAGCAGGACAGACTTGGCAGATCTCGTCTCTTGAGTAGAAGTGTAGCCGCAACGCTCAGGTTACCTCATTTGTGTCTGACTTACGAGCCTCCTATACAGGGGTATGGGTGCTGTATGCCTCTGCCAAGTCGGCTCTGTCACAAATATAGTATGCAAATATTCAGACGTCCTCACCCCAGAATTATAGAGAAAATAAAGCCAAAAAAATAGGAATTTCTGGTCTACAGAAGCTACACGGCCCTCTCTTTTGTTGGGGTAAAAGAGAACCTTTTTTGGTTTGTGAAATTTAACGTGCCAACCAGGGGCGGACTAACCATTTGGAAACTCGGGCATTGCCCGAGGGCCCGGGGTCAGTAGGGGGCCCCATGAGATGCCCCTGGTACCTTTTTCATAGGTTTTTTTGAGTTTGGGCAAGGACACAGGGGCCCCATGATCCCATATTGCCCGGGGGCCCCATGAGTTGTCAGTCCGCCCCTGGTGCCAACTTTACATTTATAGACTAAGTCACATGGCCTATAGTAGCTGACGAAACATTCCTCGGGATCAACTGCAGGTTTAGGGATCTAGGGATTAGGGATTAGGGATTTTTTGGTTTTTAATATTATTGTTGGTTGGGCTAGAGATGGACATGCATGTTTTTTTTTTTAATTACCCAACTGGGTAATGTTGTGTGTTGTTGGAGCCTTTTAAAGCGGTAGTAAACCACCACAGGTTTAAGACTTACTTGCACACAGAGCCCTCCAGCTCAACACTTTCACGGCTCCCAAACACTTCCATCTTCACCCGGTCTTCCTCCTGGGTTTGTGGGTTCCAGCTGCAGCAATGGCATGCGCGTGGGAACCTCGGCACGGAGCTCGGAAGGTATGGCGCGGGTATGCCGTTCCTTCAGTGTGCATGCGCAGGTGACGTCACTGGCTGCAACGCGTGTGAATATCTCCTAAACAGTGTAAGTTTAGGAGGCATTCGCTGTACCCAGGGGCGGACTGACCATTCAGACACTCAGGGACTGCCCGAGGGCCCTGATATCTTTTATAGGCTTTTTTGGGAGTGGTTTCAGTGTGGGCGAAGACAGAGGGGCCCCATGATCGCTTATTGTCCGGGGGCCCCATGAGTTGTCAGTCCGTCCCTGGCTGTACCTAAAGGTAAGCCTATAATAAGTTAAAAAGCAGATTTTACTACCACTTTGATGACAGGTCTCCTTTTTAATGTTTACGTTACATTATTTTTGCTCCTGCCCGTTAAGCTTTTGACACAGGCGGTAACTTCTTACTTCAGTTCCATGGTCTCCTCTTCCCTAGTCTAGCCATGATCCATACTATAGTTTTATGGTTTTTCCTTGCCCAAGCTATCCATGATATACACAATTTGTATGTGGATTGGGTATTTTTGGGGGGTATTTTTTGTCTGAACTAGCCATGATCTATACTACAGCTCTGTCTCCTCCTTTTGCCCAAACTAGCCATGATCCATACTACAGTTCCATGGCCTCAGCATGCCCAAGCTAGCTATAATCAACACAATTTCAAGAGCATGTGGATTGGGTATTTTTTGGGAGTACTTTTTGCTCAAGCTGGCCATGATCCATGCTACAGTTCCATGACCTCCACTTGCCCAAGCTAGCCATTACTCATACTATAGTTCATTGGTCTCCTCTTGCTCAAACTAGCCATGATGCATACTACAGTTCCATGGTCTACTTTTGCCCAATCTAGCCATCATCCATACCACATTCCCATGGACTCTTCTTGCCCAAGCTAGCCATGATCCATACTACAGTCCTATGGCCTCCTCTTGCCCAAGCTAGCCATGATCAATACTACAGTTTCATGGCCTCCTCTTGGCCAAGCTAGCAATGATCCATACTACAGTTCCATGGCCTCATCTTGCCCAAGCTAGCCATGATCCATACTACAGTTCCATGGCCTCCTCTTGGCCAAGCTAGCAATGATCTATACTACAGTTTCATGGCCCAGCTCATCTTGCCCAAGCTAGCTATAATCCACACAATTTTGAGAAAATGTGGGTTGGCTATATTTTGGGGGTACTTTTTGCCCTAGCTAGACATGATCCATGCTACAGTTTCATGGTCTCTTCTTGCCCAAGCTAGCCATGATCCATGTTACCGTTTTATGGCCTCCTCTTGCCCAAGCTAGCCATAATCCATATTACAGTTCCATGGTCTCCTCTTGCCCAACCTAGCCATGATCCATACTACAGTTCTATGGTCTCCTTTTTGCCCAAGCTAGCCATAACCCTTACTACAGTTCCACGGTCTCCTCTTGCCCAAACTAGCCATGATCCATCCTACAGTTTTATGGTCTCCTCTTGCCCAAACTAGCCATGATCCATCCTACAGTTTTATGGTCTCCTCTTGCTCAAGCTAGCCATGATCCACATGTAGAGAGTACGTGGATTGGGTATTTTTTTTTTTTTAAAAAGCAGACCAATATTTTTTTCCTAGCAGTCGTCAGTAGTGTCCAGTGACCTCACAGGCCCTCTTTTCCCTCTTCTTCCATCAGTGGAACACAGATCCCAAATGCTATAGAGAGTGGTGTCACTGCAGCAATCTCCTGTGATTCCAAGGTGGTGGAGCCTTGGCACCCTGGGCTGACAGGAAGGTATTGTGAGCATACTTAAACCCAATGAACTGGATTGGTTAGTGCTCGTGTGGTCAGCAGGAGACCGCATCAGAGATGTGGAGAGTGTAGCAACTGCAAGCTGTGTGTGTGGGGGGGTGTTGGCGTGTGTGTGTTTTTTTTTGTGTGTGTTTTTTTCCATTCTTTGTCTAAATAAATCCAGGTCAGTTGGTCTTTCCTTGTAGCTGGGGTCCAACATACCCCTTAATCTAGCTACTGTTCTTTGCACTCTTTCTGGTCCTAGAATACCCCATATTTCCATATATCCTAAAATAGAAACAGCCCTATAACTTGCTAATTCACCTTCAAAATGGATACCACAGGCAAGCAGAAAACCATCCATTTTACAAGACATTTGTTTTCATCATATCTATATATATTTTCTAGACTTTTTTCACACATTACATCAGTCTCTGTTCCTATAATACTGCCATTGCATACATGCTCTAGGCCAATTTGGTCAAATGTCCAATAATTTGTCAAAATGTTCTAATAAGGAAACTGTCCCACATGGATTCCTAACCACACAAAGATCTCTCCTTCTATTCTTGGTGGACACCAACCAGATCCTTAATGTTGGAGGACTACCATACCAACTAATTATCCCCGATGTGCCCAGGATGATATAGGAAAACACCATGATGATTTTCTAATCTGAGTTCTTAGCTGACGGCCATCATAACGTGTATAATAACAGAAGCACAGAGGAAAATGTCCTGACAAGTTTCTCATAAAACTTTTTTTCGTATGGGAGGAGAATGGCTTGCTCTTGGCCAGGCAGCTGGCTGGGAGCCTGGAACCCTTGATCCACCCCCTGGCACATTATTATGACAGGCTTGAGTAAATTTATTTACCAGGATATCAGGGATCCAGCCTCAGCTGCTTCTGTAGACCGGTTGGTCTGGTTTGGTCTGGAATTGTTTGAATCAGCTATAGACTCCAACGAAGTGGAGGAATGTCAGGTGATCTCATTTTCTCTTGCAATCCTTGGCCTCATAACTAAACAATGATGATATATTATCATATTATCAGGAATGGAGATTAAGTAGCAAAGGAACATATGGGGACTGTAAGAGTATATTTTGTGAAATGGAAATTTTATACAGTATTCCACCAGAGAAGCCAATGCTGCTCAAAGTCAAATTAAGTGCCAAGAAAATGATAGGCAAAGTTGAGTATAATTTGAGTTCATAAAATAGGCTAACTCTGCTACCATCAGACTTCGGTTTTGGGTGGGCACCACCAGGTTTTTATATTTCTTGAATGGTCCAACAGTGAGATTTTCAGTGTTTCCACTCCTATAAGGCAGAACAATACTGTAGATAGCAGACCCACAGGGCAATAGTTATATAGGTGCTACATTCCTAATTTCTCAAATTGGAAAAGAAAAGGGGGAATCAGGGGCGGACTGACCATTTGGAAACTCGGGCACTGCCCAAGGGCCCGGGGTCAGTAGGGGGCCCCATGAGATGCCACTGGTACCTTTTTCATAGGCTTTTTTGAGTTTGGGCAAGGACACAGGGGCCCCATGATCCCCTATTGCCCGGGGGGCCCCATGAGTTGTCAGTCCGCCCCTGGGGGGAATTATATGAACTTTCAGGTACCATATGTGAAACTCACAAATCACAATTTTGTTCAAATACAGCTTAGTATAACAATTATTTAAACACATATAACACCAACACTGTTCTGCTCATGAAAACCTGTATTGTGATCCTGTACTACGTAAATCGCCATAAATCGATAATGATGAGGACCATATATTTGTCAAACACTAGGTCCATACGCAATGCGGGATCCTTTGGGTTGTCCACATCAACTCACGGCCTATTAGGCTCAATGTTTTTTTTTGCATCCGACAGTGATACCTCCTCAGGCTGTGAAGCACAACAAGCCTAATAGGCCATGAATTGATGTGGACAACACGCTGCATAACCCCTGGCCCTCTGTCTGGACAGTGCTGATTAGCCCTGTGCTGATCAAATGCACAAAAAAAAACTCTTTAGCAATACACACTAAGCTGAGTGTGTGCAGCTTGCCCCCAAGGCTCTGTTCTATCAGCAGATGGATTGGGGACAGTAAAAGAAGGGAAGGATCAGAGAAGACAGGATCAAACAGCCTTTTTACACAATGTGGAGGATTAACCCCTTAGGTTCCACAATGAGTATAACAAGCATGCTTTACTGCATCTACAGATTGATTTCACTGTTGTGGGTTTAGCAACACTTTAATTATATGGACTTTTTACAACAGTGAGGGTAGATGATGTAGGGTGTGTGCTAATCAGGTCAGCCGGTCAATTCCTTCCTGTGTCGTAACCTAAAGTCTTTCCTGGAAATAAGGGAGAAGTAATGGAGAAGCTTTTTGGACAGCCATCTGGACACTGACATAAAGCTGCGTAGAAAATATGGAAAGCTTTTGAAATTCTGCAAAAATAGGTTAATGCTAGTACCTAGGGGAGCTGGAATTTATAAAAAAAAGGTGAACAGAGGTGAACTTATCCTTTAATTTGGCTGAACCAATAACTCTTGCTATTGTAAGATGAGGGGTGGGAGCAAGAGGCACGTCTTTCTGATTCTACGCCTTGGGGGACATCTCTGTCCTAATCATGGAGCAAGCCTATGCTGAATGTGCTGCTTGCCCGGCCTCAGGTGTAGCCAATGCCAGGACACGGTCATTGTTGAGCCCTAACCTTCACACTTACCCCCTAAGCATAAATTCCCTTTGCAAGCCAAAATTCTCCCCAAAGAAAAATTCCCCCTCTTCCAGTAAAAATCTCCCTCCTGGCTCAAATCCTCTCCCCCACAAATCTCCTCTCCTAGCACAAATCCTCTACCCCTCAAATTTCCTTTCTGAGCATAAGTCCTCTCCCCAGCTCCAAATCCCCCTCTCTCAGCACAAATCCCCCCAAAATCACTTCTCCTAGCCAGGGGCGGACTGATAACTCATGGGGCCCCCGGGCAATAGAGGATCATGGGGCCTCTGTGTCGTCGCTCACACTCAAACCATACCCAAAAAAGCCTATGAAAGGTACCAGGGGCATCTCATGGGGCCCCCTACTGACCCCAGGCAATAGAGGATCATGGGGCACCTGTGTCCTCGCCCACACTTCAACCATACCCAAACAAGCCTATGAAAGGTACCAGGGGCTTCTCATGGGGCCCCCTACTGACCCCAGGCAGTAGAGGATCATGGGGCACCTGTGTCCTCGCACACACTCAAACCATACCCAAAAAAGCCTATGAAAGGTACCAGGGGCATCTTATGGGGCCCCCTACTGACTCCTCCACAGCCTGACTGTCCCTGGACCGCCCCTTTCATACGTAGCACTACCTCCTTAGGAGTCGCTAAGTTTTTGGGTCCCCCTACAGTCCTGCACAGCCAGGCAACACACATCTTCTTCCTCCACGCTTGCTCATGGAGACAGTAACCGGTCCTAACTCTAGGTTCACACCAGGGGCGGACTGACAACTCATGGGGCACCCCAGGCAATAGAGGATTATGGGGCCCCTGTGTCCTCACCCACACTCAAACCATACCCAAAAAAGCCTATGAAAGGTACCAGGGGCATCTCATGGGGCCCCCTACTGACCCCGGGCCCTCGGGCAGTGCCCAAGTGCCCGAATGGTCAGTTCGCCCTTGCTCCTAGCACTAATCCTCCCCCTAAAATTTCCCCTCTTAGCACAGATCCCCTCCAATCATCTCTACTAGCACAAATTCCCCCCCCCCCCACACCAAAAAAAAAAATCCCCCTTCCTATCAGAAATCCACCCTCCTAGTACAAGTCCTCCCCTCCAAATCACCCCTTCTAGCACAAATCCCCATTGGACCCAGGGCAGTTGTCCCTCCTGCCCACCCCTTGTCCTGCCCTAGGTGTGGCAGTCATTGCCACTTGTGAAGGAGGGGTCTAGTCATCTGAAAGAGAATCTGAGAGAGAATGAGTTCCTTAGTGTATGAGGTGCTTCAGACCTGTTACATCCCAGCTCTGATTGTTGTAATAACGTTTTTCTGATAACTTGGTCCAATCCAAGTCAACACTATACAAAAATGTTCTTTTATCTGATGTTTGATGAAATTGTCTCCCTACAGAAAGACCTACTGCCACCGCAGGCTGAACTTCCTGGGCTCCAAGTTTCAACTCCATGAGATGTTGAACGAAATGTCAGAACTGAAAGAGCTGAAAAGTGTGCCCCACCGCGATTTTTATAACGTCAGGAAGGTAGGTATCCTGTGCAGGGGCTTAACTAAATTCCTTGGGGGCCAAGCCAGTGTCTTTTAAGGGGGTCACTTCAAGCAAATCAATTATTCACAGTAATCTTTATAAATAGGGCCTTAGTGTATGAAGAAGTATATGCAGCCAGAAGAGTTGCCGTAGATAAGCAGAAGGGTGTTGTGATGGAGGACCATTGTCTGGTTTTGTAGAAAGATCCCGACTATATCTGTAGTTAGTCACATCTTGGTTAGAACTAAAGCAAAGCTGCCTAAACATTTTTATGGGGCTAGTTAATGACCAAGCCTCCAAATGACCAGAGAAAGATCTTTATTATTATTATTATTACTACACAGGATTTATATGGCGCCAACAGTTTGCTCAGCGCTTTACAATATAACGGGAGACAATACAGTAACAATACAGTTCAATACAAGAGGGACAGGAGGGCCCTGATCCTGGGAGCTTACAATCTAGGAGGGAGGGGCTAGTGGTACAAAAGGTAGTAACTGTGGGGGATGGACTGGTAGGAGGAGTAGAAGATTCCATTATTAGCTGAGGGCAGGATAGGCTTCCCTGAAGAGATAGGTTTTCAGAGATCGCCTAAAAGTGAGCAGAGTAGGCAATAGTCTGATAAATTGGGGTAGAGAGTTCCAGAGGATGGGGTAAGCTCTGGAGAAGTCCTGGAGATGAGCGTGGGAGGAGGAGACAAGGGAGCTACAGAGTAGGAGGTCTTGAGAGGAGGGGAGAGTACAGTTTGGGTGATATTTGGAGACAAGATCGGTGATGTAATTTGGGGCAGAGTTATAAATGGCTTTATACGATATTGTTAGTGTTTTGACTTTTATCCATTGGGCAACGGGAAGCCAGTGGAGGGATTGGCAGAGAGGGGTGGAGGACACTGAGTGGAGGCCAGTGGAGGGATTGGCAGAAGGGGTGGAGGACACTGAGTGGAGACCAGTGGAGGGATTGGCAGAGAGGGGTGGCAGATACAGAACGGTTAGTAAGGTGGGTGAGTCTGGCAGCAGCATTCATGATAGACTGAAAAGGGGATAGCTTGCGATGAGGTTGGCCAATGAGGAGGGAGTTACAATAGTCAAGGCGAGATATAACAAGGGAGTGAATAAGTTGCTTAGTGGTTTCCGAGGTTAGGAATGGTCATATCTTTGAGATGTCGCGGAGGTGAAGTCTACAAGATTTGGACAGTGATTGGATTTGGGGCTGAAAGGACAGATGGGAGTCTAGGGTTAAACATTTAGGTTTGCATTGGATGGCCTTGCGTGTTTATGCCTATGGAGGAGGAAGGGGTTAAAAGTTAGAGATCTGTCTCAAACAAACAAAAGTCGTTGTTTGAATGCCATTGTGATAGACTTTTCCCACGTTGGCTTGGTCCTAGAACATCAGCCAGGTCATGGAAGAGCCTACAAACGTTATCTAGTCGGAAACATAAATGGCTGGCAAATATTCTCCAATAAACTGTATTTAGTCACCTTCAATCTTTCCCAATGTTCTGTAAGTAGTCACCTTCAATGTTCTTCAATGTTCTGTATGTAGTCACCTTCAATGACCCTCTAGCTTTGTCTAACATAGGTGGACACTCATATCCATGCTGCAGCCTGTATGAACCAGAAGCATCTCCTGCGCTTCATCAAACACACATATCGCACAGAGTCAGACCGGGTGGTGGCTGAGAAGAATGGGCAGAAGATGACCCTGAAGGAGCTATTTGATAGCCTTCACATGGATCCATATGACCTCACTGTTGACTCTCTGGATGTGCATGCGGTAAGACATGATTTTTTTTTACTCCCTTAAAAGCAATGCAACAACCATAAAAGAGCAAGCCAATGTGACCATAAGTGCACGGAGTCTACAGTTCTTGTGCTCTAGTCCTGAACAGGGGCAGACTGACAACTCATGGAGCCCCCGGGCAATAGGGGATCATGGGGCCCCTGTGTCCTTGCCCAAACTCTAAAAAGCCTATGTAAAAAGTACCAGGGGCATGTCATGGGGCCCCCTACTGACCCCGGGCCCTCAGGCGGTGCCCGAGTTTCCGGTCCACCCCTGTCCTGAAGTGTGGGAACAAGTCGTGTCCCAAGTAGGAGTTGTATTTATAGAGACGTCTGTTTCTTTTCCTTCTACAGAAAACATTCTTCCTACTGACAGTTTCCTGTGAACAGTGTTTTTGGCGTTTTGAAGTTCCGCCGTCTCTCGTATTATAGCTTATGTTATCTGGCAATTGTACACATTCGTATTTTATGTCATAAAATGAAGCCGAATGTTAAATCCACCAACCATAGAACTGCATGTGACGGCATAACCTGGTCTTCTACAGGATCAGTAAATCAAACATAGAGGATAACCTGTGTTATTTTTGTAATGCTCTCACCCCCAAAAGGGCCTGCTGATTTGGCACGGGTTCCTTTCCCCACTAGTACAGCGGCAGCCAGGCACACGGCAACATTCACACTTATTTATTTCAGGTACTTATATAGCACCGACAATTTACGCAGCGCTTTACATATATATTGTACATTCACATCAGTCCCCAACCCTCAAGGGGCGTACAATCTAAGGTCCCTAACTCACATTCATACATACATATACTAGGGACAATTTTAGACAGGAGCCAATTAACCTACCAGCATGTCTTTTGGAGTGTGGGAGGAAACCGGAGTACCCGGAGCAAACCCACGCAGGCACAGGGAGAAACATGCAAACTCCAGGCGGGTAGTGCCGTGGTCGGGATTAGAACCAGCGTCCCGAGTACTGCCAGGCGGAAGTGGTAACCATTTAGCCACTGTGCTGCCTGGCTCAATAAACAGTCTAGGGGTTGCCTTCTTGATATTTATTGCTAACACAGCAAACTCTGTACTCCTGCGCTGGGCTAAGGTAACAGAGGCTAAGGTAACAGAGGCTAAGGTACTCATCAGAGGCTAAGGTAACAATTCAGATATCCTGGAATATGCACTCCTTGCTGCCCTCAATGGACCGGGGTACTCCAAAGTCACTAGATATAAAAGAAAGCAAAAAGTGGGCGCACCGGCCTAGTGCAATATCGTAAAAAGTATTTATAAAAAGGATAAAAAGTACTCACAATGGACATAAAAAAACAAAGGCACATCACAATAAACAGTAGTGTCCAATCCATACAGCATCTATGTCCAAAACAAAGGAACCCTGGACTTCCAACTTCTAACGCGTTTCGAGGACTCAGCCTCTTCCTCAGGGCACTGAGCCCTCTTTTTGTTTTCTTTTCTATCTAGTGATATTTATTGCTGAACAAACTTGGACAGGACACTAGGAATTGTGAAATACTCCAGAAAACACTAAGCAGTAATCAGAAGGGACTCTTCATTCTGCAGCTACTTCTTAGAACCGTTCCTTTAATAATAGCCCGGGAAATGGACTTCACTGGGACATCATAAGCAAAGTCACAGGCCAGGCAAGCCTTAGGATTAGTGCACAAGGACCAATATAAGCAACATTGACCAAGATCCTTCACTCAGGTCTGTACTCACAAGGTCCTTGAGTACTTGGATGCCTCCTTCCAGTATCAGACAGACACATCCGTAGTGAACTCTCCAGACCGGATCCTAGGTGATGTCCCCTTGTTTGACTTCATGAACCCCCCTGCTTTGGCATAGCTGGGACCAATTGATGAGCTCAGGTAAACTTCAGCTGGACTGCTTGGGAGGGCAGTAGCCCTTCAGGTTGGGAACTTATCCTCCTGGACAAGACAGACTGCTCCAGGTCCCATAATATTTATGCCCTCCACAGCCACCTATTGGGCACACCTCCCCAGGGATTGGCTGAGACTCCATAAATATTCAGGCTACTCCTTTGACTTGTTCCACTCCTATGTTCTGGAGCCTTTCAGAAGCTAAGAAGAAGCAATCAAGCCTGCAGCCTGTAAGACTTTGATCAGTCCAAAACAATTAGCAAATGCATATAACTGCGTACAGCCATTAACTTCTATAGACGGCAGGGGCAAGGCTCAAACATGTCCACCTAGCCAAAAGGGCTGGCGGACCCCTCTCCTTATGGTCAGCCTAAGCCAACCAACGAGTACTGGTGAGGGTCTCTCCCAAAGAAAGACAAGAAGGAACCTGATGGCCATGCATCCCCCTATACTTTAGGGTAGGCCCAGGACCCACACCCTCCATCCAGTAAAAGAAATGCAAACAAAAGCACAAAGTGACAAACGTGACTGATAAGAACAGATACTACACTTGATCTTAGCCAAAAGGCCAAGAAGCAAAGCAAACTGTATACAGCTGTTTCGGGATTTTTGGTCATCATCAGTGCAGGGTACGGAAACTATGGCTCCTATGGAGTAGGGCTTGAGCCCTAATCAAAGAATAATCATACTAGGGATGGACCAATATATTGGCCACCGAAAATTATCGGCCAAAAAGAGGGTTAGCGGCATTTTGTCGATAGAAAAAAAAGTCCCAATGGACTTCAATGCAAAAATCGCATCCCATTGGCTTCAACACAAAAACCCTGCCTAGTGACTTCAGTGCAGAATTGCATCCCATAGACTTCAATGCAAAAATCCCCCTAGTGCAGGGGTGGGCAAACTGCGGCTCTCCAGCTGTTGTGGAACTACATTTCCCATGAGGCATTGTAAAGACCGGAAGTTACAAGCATGACTCCTATGACTTGCAGAGGCATGATGGAACTTGTAGTCCTGCAACAGCTGGAGAGCCGCAGTTTGCCCACCCCTACCCTAGTGTTTTCAATGCAAAATCGTGTCCCATAGACTTCAATGCAAAAACGACCCCTTAGTGATTTCAATGCAAAATCGTGTCCATTAGACTTCTATGCAAAATCGTGTCCCATAGACTTCAATGCAAAAATGCCCCTTTAGTGATTTCAATGCAAAAGCGCATCCCATAGACTTCCAATGCAAAAGCGTGTCCCATAGACTTCAATGCAAAAGCGTGTCCCATAGACTTCAATGCAAAAAGCACCCCCCCCCCCTAGTAACTTCAATGCAAAAAAAAGCCAGCCACATTAATTACATTAAAAAAAACTAAATCATACAGGTTATGATTAGAAGGAAATAAGGGATCAAAGAGCCCTCCAACCAAATTAGTGCGTAGCACAGTAAAGCTTTCTATAATTCGCGTGTTCTCATTCCATCACATCTCTAAAAAATGAGAGAATGCCAGGCAGATCATTCATTTATAAACCCATCAGCCAAATGCACATCCACATCCGCTGGTGTATAGCCCAATGGTATGGAGCAGGGGCGGACTGACCATTTGGGCACTCGGGCACTGTCCGAGGGCCCGGGGTCAGTAGGGGGCCCCATGAGATGCCCCTAGTACCATAGGCTTTTTGGGTATGGTTTGAGTGTGGATGAGGACACAGAGGCCCCATGATCCCCTATGAGGACACAGAGGCCCCATGATCCCCTATGAGGACACAGAGGCCCCATGATCCCTATGAGGACACAGAGGCCCCATGATCCCCTATTGCCCAGGGGCCCCATGAGTTGTCAGTTCGCCGCTGGTATGGAGCCATTTATTCCAAACTGCATACAGCTGTTACAGATTTTTAGGGCCGATTCACACTCCATGCATTTCAGTTGCTTTTTCTTCTGCATCCAAAATGCACAGAAAGTAGATTATATTGCTGTCAATGTCATAGTTCACATCAGTGCTCGCAGTTCCAGTGCGTTCCAGTTACAGAAAAAAAAGTAGAACATGCTGCATATTTCCTGCAGAGAACTGCACTGGAACATGGTAGAATGCATCAAAAATGCACCAAAAACACACATGTCCCTCTTTAACCCCTTCACGCTGGCGCCTTCCGGCCCTTTAAGGGTTCCAGATGTCGGGAGGTGGGGCGGGGTTTAGGGTCATGTGACCGCCGTGATGCGCCGTCACGGCGGTCACATGATCGGGAAAGGTCCTGATCGAAAGAGGAGATCGGGACCTTTCCGTGAGTACCGGACATGTGTGCTGGGAGCGCGCAGGGCGCGCGCTCTTGGCACATATGTTCTTTTTTAATTGCACGCAAATGTGCGGGCCGCTTGGCGTCTAGGCCCAGACGCCAGGAGGCCGCACATTTGTGTGCGGCCGGCGTGAAGAGGTTAAATTGAAGAAGAAGAGGGGAAAAAAATGAACCGGAATGCATCAAAAACGCTCCAGAACACGTCAAAAACGCGCATGCAGAAACGCATCCGGATCGGAACATATCTGGACTGCATTTCTATGGTTTGGACCGGACCATAGACACCATCAGTGCACTGTGTGAATATATTATGTGTATACGCAGGGGCGGACTGACCATTTGGAAACTCGGGCACTGCCCGAGGGCCCGGTGTCATTAGGGGGCCCCATGAGATGCCCCTGGTACCTTTTTCATAGGCTTTTTTGAGTTTGGGCAAGGACACAGGGGCCCCATGATCCCCTATTGCCCGGGGGCCCCATGAGTTGTCAGTCCGCCCCTGATCCGGAACATATCTGGACTGTGTTTCTATGGTGTGGACCGGACCATAGACACCATCAGTGCACTGTGTGAATATATTATGTGTATATGCAGGGGCGGACTGACCATTTGGAAACACGGGCACTGCCCGAGGGCCCGGGGTCAGTAAGGGGCCCCATGAGATGCCCCTGGTACCTTTTTCATAGGTTTTTTTGAGTTTGGGCAAGGACACAGGGGCCCCATGATCCCCTATTGCCCGGGGGCCCCATGAGCTGTCAGTCCGCCCCTGTGTATATGATTCGAAGCATCTTGATCAAGACATCATTTTAAAAGACCACAAATTCGGGTTTTTTCTTTGCAGGGACGACAGACATTTCATCGTTTTGACAAGTTCAACGCCAAATACAACCCCGTGGGAGCCAGCGAGCTGCGTGATTTGTATCTGAAGACGGAGAACTATATCGACGGGGAGTATTTCGCCCGTATTATCAAGGTAAGAATACGAGAGGGAGCTTGCGTCCAACAATAATGAGGTCTTCTAAGTTTTGCAAGGTACTGTTACATTTTGTAGGACAGACATCTTTCAAAAATCACACACACACACATTATAACTATCCTTTTTATTTTAGATTTAGGTTACTAAAAACTTTCAGGTGAAACAAAACATACACCGGTCTGCCATAACAATATGGGCATCCACCATAGTCAAGTCATGGACTCCACTAGACCTCTGAAGGTATTCTGTGGTATCTGGCACCAAGCCATCAGTAGCAGAGCCTTTAAGTCCTGTAAGTTGAGAGGTGGGGCCTCCATGGATCAGACTTGTTTTTCCAACACATCCTACAGGATTCTTGATTGGATTGAGATCTGGAGAATTTGATGGCCAAGTCAAAAACTAGAACTTCTTGTTGTGTTCCTCAAACCATTCTTGGATTTATCAGACCAGGCCAGCTTCTTCCATTGCTCCATGGGGTGTATTTACCACAAGGCAAACAAGGCATTTGCCTAGGGTGGCATTTTTCAGGTGGGCAGCACCACTCCCTGGAAGAAGGGACAGAAGAAGGAACACACACAGAATGGGGACCAGGTGGGATCTGAGAAAGGTTGCGGGCTGCTTGACAGTATATGCAGAGCCTGACTCATTCTATGGGATGTCTGGAGCTGTGAAGGTGAGTGTCATTCTCTCTCTTGCTGGGGGGAGGTTGGGGGTGAAGTGGCCGGTGTATGGAGGGTGGTGGTAGTGGAAGGCTCTCTCAGGTTGGGGGGTGGTTTTGGTTGGTGTCAGGTTCTCTCCACAGGGGGGCGGCTGATTTTTGTGTTGCCTAGGGCAGCACAAAACCTAAAAACACCGCTGCACATGCCCATTGTAGGTGCCTTTGGCTGTGGACATGGGTCAGCATGGGCACCCTGACTGGTCTGCGGCTACACAGCCCCATACACAACAACCTGAGATGCTTTCTATGTTCTGACACCTTTCTATCAGAACCAGCATGAACTTTTTCAGCAATCTGAGCTCCAGTAGCTCTTCTGTTGGATCGGACTACACGGGCCAGCCTTCGCCAACCACATGCATCAATGAGCCTTGGCCACCCGTTAACCTGCAGTTGGTTCCTCGGTTCTGCTTCCTTGGACCAGTTTTTGGTCGGTCCTAATCACTGCAGACTGGGAGCATCCAACAAGAGCTGCAGTTTTGGAGTTGCTCTGACCCAGTCACCATTACAATTTGGCCCTTGTCAGAGTCGCTCAAATCCTTATGCTTGCCCATTTTTTCTGCTTTCAACACATTAATTTCTGGACAGCATGTTCACTCGCTGCCTGATATTTTCCAGATGCCTTTGTAACAAGATAATCAATGTTATTCACTTTACCTGTCAATGGTCGTAAAGTTATGGCTGAGCGGTATGTGGTCCTGAAGTAGCCGATAGTCACATATATGTCCTTATTGAGATGCTGGTATTCAGATGGTCCATTAGTTACTGACGCGTTTTATGATGTTATCTGCTTCTTCAGAGAATCCCCTTTTAGACTTGAATATCAAAGAATGTACAGCTTGTCTGGTATTGGTAACGAATAAATATAAATGTATATATGTAGCGCTACTCCCTTAGGAGTCGCAAAAGTTTGGGTCCTCCTAAAGTCCTGCATAGCCAGGAAACACACATTTTTCCACAAGGACTTGCATCCAGGAGACAGGTACCAGTCCTAGGCCTTATTTTTTGGGGATTGTATTAGGGGAATTGAACTTGGATGTGGTAAGGGGTGTGTGGGATGCCCAAAGGGAACAGCAACTGAGGACAATCCTCCTGGAACTATGTACAAGTCTCTTTAAAAAAAGGTCCTCTTCTTGGAGAGCTAGCCAGCCTCTCCTGGTGTACCGCCCCGATACTCCTCTAGTTGCACTGGGTGAATCCCTGGGCAGGGGATCTGGGGCCTGTCACTTTAAATGTAAGACAGTCCCGGGTAGAAAGCTAATCCAGTTTCCCACCAGAGTGCTCCTTCTCCTCTCTGGCCCAGGAGGTACAAGTCTACTCACTCAGTCCTCTGCCTATGAGGTGATGGGTTGGGGGCTGCTCTCAGGCCTTTTGTTGGGTCGCTCCTTCCTGGCTTCATAGGTGGTTCTTGCTCTAGGGGCCGGTGAGGTTCTCAGCTTTCCTCCTTTCCAGCACCACTGCCTGCAGGTGAGCCCCTTCCCATCTGGGCCCCCTCCCAGGCTCCTGCTCTGCAGCCTTCATTCCATCTTCCACCCAAACTCACCCTGCTACTGAGCAGGCTTCACCACTCTTAGGGTTGTCCTGACCCCATGTCAGGCCTTCTGCTTGAGGATTGGCCAGGGTCCCTTGAGAGTGCAGACCAGCCACTCCTCACTCCCGCCAACTGCTTCTAGAATCTTCTCCAAAATTCTAGATCAGGGGAAGTTCCAGAGAGCTGGTCTGCAGTGCCTCTCAGCCCTCATTGAAATTTGACCCCCTGTTACACCTGGGCTGCTGCTCATCCCTACTGTCAACGGGGCTCTAGCTCCCCCTAGCTATCTAAGAGGGTGCTACATGTAATAAGATTGTATATTTATGTGGTACCGCCATGCTTTTGTGGTTATGTAACCTCATCCATCCTCCATCATACCGTGCTTTTATTACTGATGCAGTTATGAGTGCCTCCCATCACACTGTACATACAAAGCTCTCCACTGTTCCCCTTCCCTCCTCAATTGTCCTGCTTGTTAATTTGATATATTGACCTATTTATATAAATGCACTTAATTAAGGGGTGGCCTTAAAAAAAAAAAAATAATTGAAGAGCTATATATCTGGCGAAACTCCACATACATTTGTTTTGTGCAAACGGGAACGATAGAAAAATGTTCGACTCTTTTGTATCGGGGTCAAAAGTTTTCATTCATCCCAAATAGAGTGAATCGGGGAAAAAGTGCTTTATGGCCACTAGATGGAGCTGATGATGATTATGTATTTCTTCTGATCACCAGCTCCATCTGGGGGCCATAATGCAGTATTTTTCTGATTTCACTTTGTTCTATATGAATAAAAAAAAAAAAAACATTCAACCTGCAGAGAAAACAGCAGTGAACATGCAGAACAGGGTGTATTTATTAATAATAAAAAAAAAATTGCTTATGTCCAGTGAAACTGCATGTTCACGGCTATTTTCTCAGCAGGTCAAATGTTTGTCATCCATACAGAACAAAGTGAGATCGTAAAAATGCTGCATTATGGCCACTAGATGGAGCTGATGATCATAAGAAATAGATAATGATCATCAGCTCCATCTAGTGGCCATAATGCACTATTTTCCAATTCACCCTATTTGGAATAAATGAAAGACATTTGACCTGAGGAGAAAAAAAAAATCGAACATTTGCTCTTGTCCCCATCACACAAAACGAACGTGCATGCAGGTTCACTGGACCTATAGCTCTGCAATTTTTTGAAAAAATACATCCAAAGCGTTACATTCAACTGAAATGTTCATCCAGCCTCTTAAGGGTTGAATTTGTTGTATTGAAATGCTACTATGAAGATAAAGTAATGTGAAAAACCATGAGTGGGTTTAAGAATGAATTTTTGTTGCCTGCAGGAAGTGGGTCAGGAGTTGGAGGAGAGCAAGTACCAGTACACAGAGCCACGCTTATCCATCTACGGCCGTTCCCCGGATGAATGGAACTGCCTGGCCCGCTGGTTCATCAAGCAAAAAGTGTACTCGCCCAACATGCGATGGATGATCCAGGTGCCCCGTATCTTGTAAGTACTCCTGAAAACTTTCCGTGTGCCTCTGCTATGATTGGGGGGCAGTTGGAAAGAATTTCTAATAGTTGAATTCACTCCTGTACGTAGAATGTTTATTCTATAAAAATCAAGACCTTGACATGGTACTCAAGGAAAAAGTAGTTCGAAATCAGTAGAATCTATGGAAGCATGAGTGATTTTCATAGTTTCTCCTCAAAATGCTCCTGAGCCTGGCCACCACACCAGCTTACTCCTTAACCCTCGCCACGACACTGGCTTGACCCTGAGCCCTGCCATGACACAGGCTTGACCCTGAGCCCTGCCATGACAATGGCTTGACCCTGAGCCCAACCACCACACCTCCTTGACCCCGAACATTGGCTTGCTCCTGAACACCACCACCACACCAGCTTGCTTGTGAGCCTTGCCACCACACTGTCTTGCTCATGAGCACCGCCACAACACCAGCTTGCTGCTGAACCTTGCCACCACACTGGCTTGACCCTGAGCCTTGCCACCACAGTGGTTTGACCCTGAGCCCCGCCACCACTCTGGCTTTGACCTGAGCCCTGCCACCACACTGGCTTGACCCTGATACCCGCCACCACACTGGCTTGGGCCTGAGCCCTGCCACCACACCAGCTTGACCCTGAACTATGCAACCAATGGCCTGCTCCTGTGCCTTCCAACCCCTGCTCCCCCCCTTCCCCAGCAATGTCCGCACTCCAAACTCTCCTGAGCCTGACCACCATGCCAGCTTGTTCTTTAACCCATGCCACAACACTGGCTTGACCTTGAGCCCCAACACGACACTGGCCTGACCCTGAGCCCCACCACGACATCAGCTTGACCCAGAGCTTCGTCATCAAAACAAATTGACCCTGAGTCCTGCCATGACACTGGCTTGACCCTGAGCCCCACCACCACTCCAGCTTGACCCTGAGCTTTGTCACCACACCAGCTTGACCCTGGGCTTTGTCACCACACCAGCTTCACCCTGAGTGCCGCCACCACACCTGCTTGTCCTGAGCCTCATTACCACTGGCTTTCTCCTGAGCCTTCCCACCACTGACTTGCTCTCCTGACCCCTACCACCAACGGCCTGCTCCTGAGCCTTTCAAAGCTCCCCCCCCCTCCAGCTATGTCATCATTCCTCCTTCTCTTGCCATCAACTATCCCTGAACTCCCTCTTTCACTATTACACCAATTTCATAAACATGCCTGCAAGATGCCCCTCTTATCACTGTACCTGTGCACAACCCCACCTCATGTCTGCATGCTACTTCCCCAGCTCCCCTCCGACAATCCCTGGACGAGCCCCCTTCCCCACATTCCCTGAACACCAATCTGGCTCCCTCCACCCCCCCTTTCACCAATGTACCTTCACTACCACCCCGTAGTGTGGCAAAAATGTCTCCCTCCCAACATTGCACCTGCACACCCCCTTTTCACTACCATAGCTGTGAAACCACCTGCACAACTGCACATGTACCCCTTGTGCTTGTGAAGATACCCCCCTCCACTCACACACACATACTGTTGCTCCATGCCCCTCCTAAGCATCCACCCTTTACACCCAATGCCCCTGAACCTAACCCCCCCACCACCACCAAAAAAGATCCCTCAAACTGCACCAGAGCCAGGGGTGTCTTCTGTTATACTGTCCATTCCCCTGACATAGGACATCGGAATGATGTCTCCCTTCCTTTGGAAATTAACTGGAAATAAGTTTCATTAGACCTGGAAATTTGCCGTCTATAGAAGTTACAATGCAATAAGCAGTTGTGTGTTTGTGCAAATGTAACCTTTCCAAGTGCTTATTACTTATTCGAGGTCACAGTAGTTTCTGACAATGCCTTCATCTGGCATTCTGTCCAAAAGGACGGAGACATCATCCAGGGTCACCATCTACTTCCTGGACAGAGATGACACAATCATTTAGTTCCTGGTGTCTGTGCAGTTCTTGGCTGTGTTCACGAATGTCTGACACAAATCGGCCCTGCTGCAACCTTTCACCTTGTGACTTGCTACAAAGTTACAGTCTGATCAGTGGGAGAGAGGTGACTGAGGAAATGTTTCCTCATGCCTGCAGCACACTGATGACATCATCTTAGCTTAGGCAAAGTCACAGACTGGAGCTCAGAAGGATATGCGATGATTAGGGAGGTATGACTTTGTATGGATGGATGTATGAGCATATATGGATGGATAACTGTATATGGATGGATGTACTGTATGACCTTGTATGGACAGTATGACCTTGTATGGATGAATGACTGTATAGGGATGTATGACCGTATATAGATGGATGAATGACCATATATGGATGGATGTACTGTATGACCTTGTATGGACGGCATGACCTTATATGGATGAATAACTGTATAGGGATGTATGACCATATATGGATGGATGACTGACCATATATGGATGGATGTACTGTATGACCTTGTATGGACGGCATGACCTTATATGGATGAATGACTGTATAGAGATGTGTGACTATATATGGATTGATGCATGACCGTATATGGATGGATGTAGGACCTTATATAGATGGTATGACCTTGTATCTCCTTTATGTCTTGCAGTGATATCTTCAGATCGAAGAAACTCCTTCCCAACTTTGGCAAAATGTTAGAAAATATTTTCCTCCCCTTGTTTGAGGCCACAATCAATCCCTCCGACCACAAGGAGCTTTACCTCTTCCTGAACTATGTAAGTAAGGGGGAACCCTAACACGTCCACAGGTTTCCAATCAAGGGGGGATCTCTACTTCTACTGAGTGGGTAACTTTTTAAGAGATTAACTTTATTCTGCTATGGAGGGAACATCTAAGATGTCATCTCTACTTCTACCAAGAGCGGATCTCCAAAGAGGTGAACTCTATTCTACTATAGGGGGAATTTCTAAGAGGGGATTTCTACTTCTACTGAGGTGGGAATGTCTAAGGAGAGAACTCTACTGCTATGGAGGGGGGAACGTCTAAGTTGGGAACTCTGCTACTAAGAAGGGATTTCTAAGAGGGGATCCCTACTTCTACTGAGGTGGTAACTTCTAAGGGGAGAACTGTACTTCTGTGGAGAGGGGAACTTCTAAGGCAAGAACTCTTTCTATGAAGGGGGGAACCTCTAGGATGGGAACTTTACTACTGAAGACGAATCTTCTAAGAGGAGATTTTTACTTCTACTGAGGTAGGAGCTTCTAAGGTTAGAACTCTGCTTCTAATAGTTAAGGTGGGAACTTCTATAGTGGGACCTTTGCTACTGAGAAGGGATTTTTAAGAGTGGATCCCTACTTCTACTGAGATGGAAACTTCTAAGGGGAGAACTCTACTTCTATGGGGAGGGGAACTTCTAAGAGGAGATCTCTACTTCTGCTGAGGTGGGAACTTCAAAGGGGAGAACCCTACTTTTATTGAGATGAGAATTTCTAAAGTGGGAACTACTGAGGAGGGAACTTCTAAGAGGGGATTTCTACTTCTGCTGAGGTGGGAACGTCTAAAATGAGAGCTCTACTTCTATGAAAGAGAGAATTTCTTAGATGGGAATTCTGATAATGAGGGGAGAACTGCTAAGCGATGAACTCCTATGATACTACTATGGGGGGTAGTTCTAAGAGGGGATCCCTACTTCTACTGAGGTGGGAACTTTTAAGGTGAGAACTCTATTTCTATGAAGGGAGAACCTCTATGGCGGGAACTTTGCTACTGAAAAGGGAACTTCTAAGAGGGGTTTTCTACTCTCCTTGGGTAGAAAACTCTAAGGGGAAAACTCTACTTCTATGGAAGGGGGACTTCTAAGAGAAGATCTCTACTTCTACTGAGGTGGGGACTTCTAAGGCAAAAACTCTATTTTTATGGAGGGGGGAACCTCTAAGATAGGAAATTTGCTATTGAGGAGGGAACTTCTAAGAGGGGATTTCTATTTCTACTGAGGTAGGAACTTTCAAGGTTAGAACTCTACTTCTATTAATTAAGGTGGGAACTTCTATGTGGGAACTCTGCTACTGAGAAGGGAACTTCTATGAGGGGATTTCTACTCCTGCTCAGTTGGCAACTTCTATTTACCGCATCTACAGCGATGTCAGAAAAAAGGAAACTCTAACTCTTCTTTAACCAAATCGGTAGGGAAACTCTACCCCTTCCACCGTTGCATGAGTAAAATATGAAACCCTATGTCTTCCTCAACTGTGTAAGTAAGGGAAGAAATCGAACATTTCTACATCTACATCAAAAAGAATCCTACCTCTTCCTCATTTGCTTTGTTGGTAAAGTGGAATTCTACTTCTTTATACTTAAACAAATTAGTGATACTTATGACAACGTATAAGGAGGTTCTAACAAAGGAGTTTATATTGTGACTGAAGGTGCTTTTCAATACAGTCAATCTACTGTACAGAAGATACAGATTGTAACCTAACGGGATGCTTCTGTTCTAGGTGACGGGATTTGACAGCGTGGATGATGAATCCAAACACAATGAGCATATGTTCTCTTACAAGAGCCCCACCCCCGACCAGTGGACACATGAGCAAAACCCACCATATAGCTACTACTTGTATCATATGTATGCCAACATTATGATCCTCAACAACCTGCGCAAGTGAGTGTCCGTTCCCCGTATATATCAATGATCATGGGGAAGTTAAGGGGTTCTGTCCCGGCAAAATATTGGGATTGACTTCTAAATGCAGGGTCTGGGGAGGCCAGATATAGTGAATGCGGGGTCCAGGGAGTGTGGATATAATGAATGCGGGGTCCGGGGAGACCAGATATAGTGAATGCAGGGTCCGGGGAGACCAGATATAGTGAATGCTGGGTCCTGGGAGACCAGATATAGTGAATGCTGGGTCCTGGGAGACCAGATATAGTGAATGCTGGGTCCTGGGTGACCAGATATAGTGAATGCAGGGTCTGGGGAGGCCAGATATAGTGAATGCAGGGTCGGGGAGACCAGATATAGTGAATGCAGGGTCCGTGGAGAGCGGATATAGTGAACGCAGGGTCCGGGGAGACCAGATATAGTGAATGCAGGGTCCGGGGAGACCAGATATAGTGAATGCAGGGTCCGGGGTTTAGTAACACTTTAAGTGCAGTACAGAGGTGCTCTATACTCTTGTTTCCAGTCTTTTGAATAGGAAGAAGACAATGGGATTATTTTACTAAACTCTGGACACTGAAAAACCTGGTGTAGCTGTGCATGGTAGCCAATCAGCTTCTAACTTCAGTTTTTTTTCAATTAAGCTTTGACCAAAAAAAACTTGAAGCTGATTAATTTCTATGCAAAGCTGCACCAGATTTTGCACTCTCCAGTTTTAGTAAATCCACCTCAATTACTTTCCTAATCCTTGTCTTTGCAAAGAACTAACACTGACTAAGCGAACATAGAAGAAACAGGGAGAGTCTAACTAGGACTGAACTAACTAGCACTAAACAGGAGGTGAGGACAGAAGACAATACCAATTCAAGTTGTAGTGACTTTAAACCACCAGTAGATGTCGGCATACACCAGAACAATAGTAAACTGATGCATTTCAGTGCAATAGGAGAAAATACATATAGGTGGGACAGAGCAGCGCCCTGCAGAGTGGCCTCTCCGACAAGGTCAGTGGATGGGAGGTCTTACTTTCTGCATGAACTGCGGTGTGCTGTACAATCCTTGTCACTGAGGATCGTTTCCCATCCTACAGTGAAATACCCTCTTTCAGTGGCATAACTAACTGGAAGTTCATGGCTGGGATGCTATAGGTTCCTATGCTGCATGGACCAGCTTGAGTATTTTGCTGCAGTCTGTCTGGGAGGTCAAAAGTCACTTCAGATACCAGTTTGATGACATATAGTCAGGGGCGGACTGACATCTCATGGGGCCCCGGACAATAGGAGATCATGGGGCCCCTGTGTCCTCGCCTACACTCAAACCACTCCCAAAAAAGCCTATGAAAGGTACCAGGGGCATCTCATGGGGCCCCCTACTGACCCCGGGCCCTCGGGCAGTGCCCAAGTCTCTGAATGGTCAGTCTGCCCCTGCATATAGCAGATCTGGCCTCATAGTCTTCAAATTCATTCATATCTTCTTTCCTATACAGAGAGAGAGGGATGAGCACTTTCCTGTTTCGACCTCATTGCGGTGAAGCCGGCTCCATCACCCATCTGGTGTCAGCATTTTTAACAGCGGACAACATTTCCCACGGACTGAATCTCAAGAAGGTAATAAAATGAGATCTGATAGTGAAATCATTTTGAGGAATGATAGTTTTGCCTTGTATGGGAAAAAAAAAAGAAAATAATTTGTGATTTGCAAACTTTTTGTTTCGGAGTGCAGTGCTTCCTTGGTGGACGACACCCATGCACGCCACTCCTCTGCAGTGTACGCCGTATGGTGTCACGGGAAACAATCACCCCAGTTTGGCTTTCTACTTCTTTAGCTAACTGCAGTGAGCTTGCATGGCGATTTTTCTTCAACCCTTCTCATCAGAACACGCTCTTGCCGAGGTGTTAACATTCATGGAAGGCCTAGACGTCTCTGTGAGATGGTTGCAGTTCCATCTTTGTTAACTTTTTTGTTTCACTTTTGCTCCAGTATTCTGACTGATAAGTAAAGCTTTGCTGATCTTCTTGTAGCCTTCACCTTGCTGTTTCAATATTTTTATTAGTTAGGTTTTGTTTTTAAGAATATAACAAGCTCAAAATACGCCCTCCCAGGGGCAGAGCAGAACAATAACACATAAACAGAGACGGCCTGCCTTTTTTTTATTAGTCAAAAGGTTAGAAGAAAAGAAAGAAAATAAAACAAAAGAGAATCAGAAAGAAAACATGAAGGAAGGGAAACTAGAGGGATCACGGATCCGGGGCTAACACAGGCAGCAACTATAGGAGGCCATAACTAGTAGAAGGCAGGGATGGCAAGGAATAACGTATACAAGGTTCCCAAACCTTAAGGAATGTAGGCTTTCTTGTGTAAGAAAGAAATTATTTTCCTTCTCGGGCCTTGTGACATTTCTCTTCCATGTGGTGCCATTGCTGACCGCATGAAATGGGAGGGGTTTTCTTTGTTAAGTAACGCCCTTTTATAATCAACTGTCTGCTGGACATCTGTTTAATGAATAATTAGACTCACCTGGAGTTGAATTCTCGTTGATTAGGATTTTGTTGTCTAAAATTTAGTTTTCTTCCATAGGCCGGCCATACATTAAACAATTTTCTTGAGATGTTTGGTTTAGATTTACCAAAAATCATATAATAGGAGGTCAAACCTAACAACACTTTCAATTGTATCCAATTAGGTGGGCTCTTGCACTACATAGTTGAAGGTAAATCTAAAGGAAATTGGGCAGAAAATTGTATAGTGTATGGCCAGCCTAAGACTTTCATTGGGGTGTATTCATTTTTGCAACATGGTCTTTTTAATATAACTTTAACAGCTTTCACACCGCCCTATAGCAGATATACTGCTACAGGGCGGCAGGGGTGCGCAAAATCATGTGTATATATACGTGAGTTCGCATTCCCAGGTAGGGGGCATGTGCGAGCCATGCGCTTACCCTACCTGCGGCACCATTCGTGGCCGCGGCTGTCATTCACCGGGTCCCAGACGGTGATTACCCGCTGGCGCCCGGTGTTTACTGAGCATCTCCGACAGGGAGGGGGACTGTTTTGTTTACTAACAGTCCTCCTCCGTCAGCTCGGGCACACTGCACAGCACAGCCATCCAGAGCAGTGTGATTACAGTGAAGCACACAGACACCGCCCCCTAGTAAACACTCCCAGCACACAGTTAACCCTTTGATTGCCCCTCATGTTAACCCTTTGATTGCCCCACATGTTAACCCCTTCCTGCCCAGTGCCATTAGTACAGTGTCAGTGCTTTTTTTTAAGCACTGATCACTGTATTGGTGTTACTGGGGATGTCAGTGACATCAATCCAGTCCCCCCCCCCCCCCCCCCAGTGTCAGAATGTCCTCCGCAGTCCCGCTATAAGTCGCTGATCGCTGCCATTACTAGTAAAAGAAAAATCTCAGTATCTATACCGCCATTTGTAAACACTATAACTTTCACGGAAACCAATAAATTTACACATATCAGGATTTTTTTTTTAGCAAAGACATGTCGCAGAATACATTTTGGCCTAAATTTATGATGAAATTAGATTTTTAAATTTTTTTTACTGGACATGTTTAATAACAAAAAGTCAAAAATATTGTTTTTTTTTTTCAAAATTGTCGGTCTTTTTTTTATAGCGCAAATATAACGCACAGGTGATTAAATACCACCAAAAGAAAGTTCTATTCATGGGAAAAAAAGGACGTAAATTTCATTTGGGTGTAGCGTTGCATGACAGCGCAATTGTCAGTTAAAGTAACGCAGTGCCGTAACGCAAAAAATAGCCTGGTCAGGAAGGGTGGGAAATCCTCTGGAGGGTAAGGGGTTAAATAATTATTTTTGTTAGGAAAAATACTTTTCAAGTATTTTTCCTAACAAATCTTGTTTGCAATCAATGTCCGGCGTTTGTGGGAGTGTTTTGTAGCATAGCGTCCCATAGCAAATGTTGATTCTAAAAGGAAAGGAAGGTCATCACAGAGGACAAGGGGGCGCTCTTTACTTCTGGAGGAAAAGAAATGTAATCTCTAAACACGGAAAGGTTTCTTCACAGTGAGAGCTGTGAGAATGTGGAATAGACTCCCTCAAGAGTTGGTTGTGGCCAGCTCAGTGGATTGCTGTAGGAAAGTCCTGGATTCTTTCTTGGATACACAGAATATAACTGGATATAACATTTATAGGTAACGTTGATCCAGGGAATATCTGATTGCCTCTCGGGGATCAGGAAGGAATTTTTTTTCCCCTGCAGGAGCAAATTGGATCGTGCTTTGCTGGGTTTTTTGCCTTCCTCTGGATCAACTGTGGATGTAGGATTATAACTTTTTTTTTTTTTTTCTGTGGTTGAACTGGATGGACTTTTGTCTTTTTTCAGCCAGACGAACTATGTAACTATTTACACAGAATATAACTGGATATAACATTTATAGGTAAAGTTGATCCAGGGAATATCCGATTGCCTCTCGGGGGATCAGGAAGGAGTTTTTCCCAGCAGGTGCAAATTGGATCGTGCTTTGCTGGGGTTTTTTTTTTGCCTTCCTCTGGATCAACTGTGGGTGTAGGATTACAACTTTTTTTTTTTTAATGGTTGAACTGGATGGACTTTTCTTTTTTTAGCCAGACAATTTATGTAACTATATTTTTCTGACAAATCTGTTGGGGTGGACTGTATCTGTTGCTGAGCCCTGTATATATTGTAAAGCGCTGAGCAAACTGTTGGCACCAAGGGCGGACTGACCATTTGGAAACTCGGGCACTGCCCGAGGGCCCGGGGTCAGTAGGGGGCCCCATGAGATGCCCCTGGTACCTTTTTCATAGGCTTTTTTGAGTTTGGGCAAGGACACAGGGGCCCCATGATCCCCTATTGCCCGGGGGCCCCATGATCCCCTATTGCCCAGGGGCCCTATGAGTTGTCAGTCCGCCCCTGGTTGGCGCTATATAAATCTTGTATAATAATAATAATAATTTTTTTAACCACAAAAACTGAAATCTGTTGAACATTTTCTGCATTTTGCAGAATGACCATAAGATGTCACCGTATCTATACATTTTTTTTGCCTCGCTTTGTGATTTGATCATTGAAGTGTTTTATTATTATTATTATTATTATTATACAGTATTTATATAGCGCCAAAAGGTTTGCTCAGCGCTTTACATTATAGTGGGGGACAATACATGAGACAATACAGTAACAATACAATACACGAGGGGTTCGAGGGCCCTGCTCTTTGGAGTTTACAATTTAGGAGGGAGGGGATAGTGGTTCAGGAGGAAGTGGCTGTGGGGGATGGAGTGGTAGGAGAAGTGGAGGAGATCGGCTGTTAGGTGAGGGTGGGGTAGGCTTCCCTGAAGAGATGGGTTTTCAGGGTGCGCCTAAAGGTGAGGAGGGTAGGTGACAGTCTGATGGATTGGGGTAATGAGTTCCAGAGGATGGGGGAAGTCTTGGAGAAGTTCTGCAGTCGGGCGTGGGAGGAGGAGACCAGGGAGCTAGAAAGTAGGAGGTCTTGTGAGGAGCGAAGATTACGGGTTGGGTGGTATTTGGGTATCAGGTCGGTGCAGGGGTGGACTGACCATTTGGAAACTCGCTCACTGCCCGAGGGCCCGGGGTCAGTAGGGGCCCCATGAGATGCCCTTGGTACCTTTTTCATAGGCTTTTTTGAGTTAGGGCAAGGACACAGGGGCCCCACAATCCCCCATTGCCGGGGGCCCCGTGAGTTGTCAGTCCGCCCCTGGGTCGGTGAGGTAGTTTGGGGCAGCGTTATGAATGGCTTTGTATGTCAATGTTAGTAGTTTGAATTTAATGCGTTTTATTGAGGAATCGGGCCGGGACAAGGGGTGGGCAGGAGGGGCAGCTGAAGCAAAGGGGCAGAGAGTGGACACAGGACAGTAATCCCAATCTTAACAGTGGGGGAGGGGAGAGGTTCCGTATCCTTGCCCTGGGGGGGCGCTAGATGAATTTGGAACCCTTATTACAAGAACGACAGAACGGCGACCTGAAATCTATTGAACATTTTTGGCACTTTGCAGAATGACCATAAATGCCAGCATTGAGCAGCGGTGTAGATTCCTGGTATAAGGACCCATAGCTTGTGTTCCTCTTGCAGAGCCCGGTGTTGCAGTACCTGTATTACCTGGCACAGATCCCCATCGCCATGTCGCCGCTCAGCAACAACAGCCTGTTTCTGGAATATTCCAAAAACCCGCTGCGAGAATTCCTCCACAAAGGCCTCGTGGTGTCTTTGTCCACAGATGACCCGATGCAGTTCCACTATACCAAGGTGGGTAACGCAATAAAAAAAAAAAAAGGTGTAAATGAATAAAAAATAGAGATGTGTTTAATTATATGAGTTTGTATTGCCCAGGATGATGACACACAGGGCCGTCTATATAGCATCATGAGCCTCTGGGCAAAGTAATGCATTGGGGCCCCTACCAGCCTGGCCCCCAACTTACGCACCTACTCTCAAGAATTGAAGGATAATTAGTGGATAGAATTAAACCTGCGTTTATTAGTACTTTCCATGAAATTAATTTTAAAATTCAAAAACTTATCAACACAAAGGGCACAGTGCCGGGCGAAGCAGAAGGGCACGGTACAGGGGGAGTCAGGAGGGCACAATACTGGGATCAGGGGGAGGGCACAGTACAGGGAACTCAGGAGGGCACAATACTGGGTCAGTAGGGCACAGTACAGGGGACTCAGGAGGGCACAATACTGGGATCAGGAGGGCACAGTACAGGGGACTCAGGAGGGCACAGTATAGGGTGAGCCAGGAGGGCACAGTGCAGGGGGAACCAGGAGGCTACAAAACTGGGATCAGGAGGGCACAGCACAGGGGGAGTCAGGAGGGCACAACATTGCGATCAGGAAGGCATGTACAGGGGGAGTCAGGAGGGCACAATACTGGGATCAGGATGGCACAGTACAGGGAGAGGCAGTAGGGCACAATACTGGGATCAGGAGGAAGCAGAAGGGCACAGTATAGGGGGAGTCAGGAGGGCACAATACTGGGATCAGGAGGGCACAGTATAGGGGGAGTCAGGAGGGCACAATACTGGGATCAGGAGGGCACAATACAGGGATCAGGAGGGCACAATACAGGTCCTGGGACACTACCTGTCCCGGCAAATCCAGGACAGTTGGCAAATATGATGTAATGCAAGATTATCATGGGGCCCCCTGCACCTGGGGTGCCTGGGTAGTGACCAGAAATGCCCATGCATTAAGACAGCCCCGGTGACATATCTGCCTTCTGATGAACTACAGGGTTTTCGAAACAAAAGAATTTGTATGGAAAGTAAAGCCCCATGTTGAGTGTGGTCGAATATACTTCTATGGCCATACATCTGTGCAGTTAGAGCCAAGCAGAATATATTGATAAATATTGTTTTGTAGGAAGCGCTGATGGAAGAATACGCCATCGCTGCCCAAGTATGGAAGCTGAGCACCTGCGATTTGTGCGAGATTGCAAGGAACAGCGTCCTGCAGAGCGCGGCCTCTCCGACAAGGTCAGTGGATGAATGGGTCAGACCAGGGGCGGACTGACAAATCATGGGGCCCCTGGGCAATAGGGGATCATGGGGCCCCTGTGCCCTTGCCCAAACTCAAAAAAAGCCTATGAAAAGGTACCAGGGGCATCTCATGGGGCCCCTTACTGACCCCGGGCCCTGGGGCAGTGCCCGAGTTTCCAAATGGTCAGTCCGCCCCTGGGTCAGACATAATGGAGCGCACTGTACAATCCTTGCCTTGGACGATCCTTCCCTACGGTCAGATTTCGGCAGCTGGTGACCTTGTTGTGGTAGTTGGCAGAAGGCCATGTAGACTTCTCGCCTTTTTGGTGGAATCGATGACGAGAGATTGCCTGAGTAGCGTTGACCCACAAACCAACAGTGCTCCATGGTCCAGCGTGCTTCATCTAGAAGAGGAAATGTAAAAAAGGATGAGAGCTCCACAAATCTGATCGAAGTCTATTGAGATTTTAAAATGTCAGAAGAGAGTCAACACACTGTTGTCAGGGTTGAGGAACAACACAACACGGTCTTATTTCCTGGCCCTTTTATGTTGTCTTCAGCCCAGATGAAGGGAATTTCTGACGCCTGAAATGTGTTGGCTCCAGGGGCGGACTGACAACTCATGGGGCCCCCGGGCAATAGGGGATCATGGGCCCTTTGTGTCCTTGCCCAAACTCAAAAAATCCTATGAAAAAGGTACCAGGGGCATCTCATGGGGCCCCCTACTGACCCCGGGCCCTCGAGCAGTGCCTGAGTTTCCAAATGGTCAGTCCGCCCCTGGTTGGCTCTTTTTTGAAAGTTTTACTGGACTTTATTAAGACCCGTGGTGGTCATCCTTTACATTGTTCAGACTACTCCAGAGATTCACAAAGTTACCGCTGTTGACAGATGTTTAACATGGATTTCAGGCCTCCTTTTTTCCCCTTACTTTGAGCCCAGCAGGTGCGCACACACTTCATGAATTTTCCCAGGTGTACAGAACTGGGAACTCAGCACAGGGATGGTGGGAACCCCTCATAATGGGCACAGCACTGGGAACTCAGCACAGGGATGGTGGGAATCCCTCATAATGGACAAAGCAGATGTACAGCCTTGGAAACGCAGAACAGGGATGGTGGGAACCCCTCATATTGGGCAGAGCAGCTGTACAGACCTGGGAGCTCAGCACAGGGATGTTGGGAACCCCTCATAATGGGCACAGCAGGTATACAAACCTGTAAACTCAGCACAAGGATGGTGGGAACCCCTCATAATGGGCACGGCCGGTGTACAGATGCTGGAACCCAGTACAGGGATGGTGGGGACTTTTCATAATGGGCACAGTGGGTGTACAGACTCAGGAACTCAGGACAGGGATAGTGAGAACCCCTCATAATGGGCACAGCGGGTGTACAGACCCAGAAACTCAGTACAGGGATGGTGGGGACTTTTCATACGGAGCACAGCAGGTATACAGACCCAGAAACTCAGCACTGGAATGGTGGGAACCCCTCATAATGTACACAGCAGGTATACAGACCTGGGAACTCAGTACAGGGATGGTGGGAACCCCTCATAATGGGCACAACAGATGTATAGATAAAACAATGAATGCAGTCAGTCATGAATTTATTAAAAATATTTTTTTTTAATGCAGATAGGATAAGTAGCAGATATTCAGTATCCGCCTTCTGTAATCACCTATACAGCAGCACTTAGTCTGTAAGAGGGAAGGGCAGTGCTAGGAGCTGGAGTGGGCAGAGGGGAACTGCTGCTACTTCCTCACTGTCTAGACCCAGGCTGGGGGAGCAAAGGTGACCAAGTTTAGCTCAATTGCTCTGGAAACGAGTCAGGTGACCAGACTGGCTCTATCATGTGGCAGAGCTTTTTACATTTCCAGACTGGATTGACAAAACACAAGTCCTTTGGCAGGTAAAACGGCTCTCTTGTGTGCAGGGGCGGACTGACAACTCATGGGGCCCCTGGGCAATAGGGGATCATGGGGTCCCTGTGTCCTTGCCCAAACTCAAAAAAGCCTATGAAATAGGTACCAGGGGCATCTCATGGGGCCCCTACTGACCACGGGCCCTCGGGCAGTGCCGGAGTTTCCAAATGGTCAGTCCGCCCCTGCTTGTGTGTATTTCACCGGTGTGCATAGCTGCCCAGCTGGCGTTCATTTGTATAGACACTTTGATAAATAAGACCCTAATTGAACCTCTAATTCCTCCGCAGGAGAAGAAGCATTTCCTGGGAGCCAGTTACATGAAGGAGGGTCCGGAGGGGAACAACATCAGCCGCACCAACGTCGCCCAGATCCGCATGGCGTACCGATACGAGACATTATGTAACGAGCTGAGCTTCTTAACGGACGCTATGAACACCGCACACCTCCCACTGCCGTGAGCGGTACGAGGCGTGGACTTTCCTGCCCGTGGGACTATTAAACTGTGATGACAAGGATGGACGCCTGACGTTTCCCTCCGCACCGCGCAAACGCTTCTCCCGCTCTCGTAGTGTACAATGTATCCGTCCTGAAATACTTATTACATTTATCACCTATGGAAAGGTAACCGCTGCTAAGTCACTCAGGATGTATTACCGGAATCCTGATGAAACATTTGTCGTTTCTGCGCATGCCGTTTTGCAATCTGTTAATATAAAAAAGACTTTTTTTTTTTCCATTTCAACCTCCAGCCCAATGTGTCTCAACCAAAGTGTTAGAAATTATGATTATTATACAGGATTTATATGGCGCCAACAGTTTGCTCAGCGCTTTACAATATAACGGGAGACAATACAGCAACAATACAGTTCAATACAAGAGGGAAAGGAGGGCCCTGATCCTGGGAGCTTACAATCTAGGAGGGAGGGGTTAGTGGTACAAAAGGTAGTAACAGTGGGGGATGGACTGGAAGGAGGAGTAGAAGATTCCATTATTAGCTGAGGGCAGGATAGGCTTCCCTGAAGAGAGAGGTTTTCAGAGATCGCCTAAAAGTGAGCAGAGTAGGTAACAGTCTGATAAATTGGGGTAAAGAGTTCCAGAGGATGGGGGGAGGTCTGGAGAAGTCCTGGAGATGAGCCTGGGAGGAGGAGACAAGGAAGCTAGAGAGCAGGAGGTCTTGTGAGGAGCGGAGAGTACGGTTTGGGTGATATTTAGAGACAAGATTGGTGATGTAATTTGGGGCAGAGTTATAAATGGCTTTATATGTTGTTGTTAATGTTTTGAATTTTATCCATTGGGTAATGGGAAGCCAGTGGAGGGATTGGCAGAGAGGGGTGGAGGACACTGAGTGGAGGTCAGTGGAGAGATTGGCAGAGAGGGGTGGAGGACACTGAGTGGAGGCCAGTGGAGGGATTGGCAGAGAGGGGTGGCTGATACAGAACGGAACAGAAATTCTGAAGGACCCTCTGCACACTGGTATATACCCTTTCTAGCAGACCAAAGTGCTGTCTGGGTTCCCCCAGGGGTGCCACAAGTAGTTGGTTCTGGATCATGATTTGCCATGATGCAGGCAGCCACCAGCCCCATAACAACCAATGGCTATCTAGGGCCAGGGCACACGGCATCATTTGTTGGTATGGTGATGGCGGCCAGCTTGTGTGCACCAGAACGTAAGACACTGATCCAGGGCAGGCGGCATGCAGGGCCATCCCCAGCATTCAGGAGAGGAGAGAATTCTGTAACGGAACCAACCCAGCCTGTGCTGAGTACTTCCGTTAGACTCCCGCTTCCCTGTCCGAACACTGACAACAGACACCACAGCCGACCATCCAAGACTAGACAACACCAGTCTTGAAGTAAACCAGGAGGTAGACTAATTTATTTGAACAAAGATACAAGATATATACACTCAGGGGACATTCCCCCCTCCCTGCATAATGACACAGAGCGGGGCAATCTACATTTAGTAACAAGAGACACACAGGTATTCAAACTTCACATCAGCAGACTGTCCCATCAGGAGGGAGGGCTGCTGGAGACACCCCCCACTAAGCTAATACACATAAACACATACATCCCATAAAAGATTGCTCCCAAGCCAGACAAACAATAGAACAATGGGATGCAGCCACACAACACCAAACCCCCACCCCACCTATCTCCTAGACATGTCTACACAATATTAGGACAGATCACCCTGTACCCCTAACAGGCACAGGGTGACTTACACATAAGAGGGGTATGGGGAGCTGAGACAGGGGTCTCCCCACCTCTCCAATGTGAGCTGGGTTCCATGGGCCCCCCACCCAAAGTGACTCCCGTCACAAAGTCCATCTCCTCCAGACCTCCTCCACCTCCAAAAGGTGGGCTGTGATGTGATGGGGTGCTTATTGATGTGGGGGCTCTGATGTGATGGGAGGACTCAGTGTATAGGGGGAGCCTCTGATATAATGGGGGGGGTGCATTTAGTGGCCAAAATGCTTTTTTTTCTGATTGATATTTAATGTATTTTACACGTTATTTAACCGTAAAAGCCTCCCTTGTGTAGATATCCAGATGCCCTGCTACTGGGTGCCGCAATCTTGGATGTGACATTGGCAACCCTGGCAGACTACAGTGTCACTCTATAGCAGCCTCTCTCAGTCTTTTCACCCTTAAAATTACTTCCGGGTCTGGAGGAACCCCTGCTAAAAAAAATTGGGGTCAGTGGGAGAAAATGCCTCTTACAGTAATGGTAAGTTGCATAAAAATGTACCTTACATTGATGGTCAGTTGGACAAAAAACCCCTTATATTGGTGGTCAGTTGGGAAAAATGCCCTTTACATTGATGGTCAGTTGAGAAAAATGCCCCTTAAATTGACGGTCAGTTGGAAAAATACCCCTTACATTGATAGTTGAAAAAAGGACCCCTTACATTAAATGGTCATTTGGAGAATTGCCCCTTACATTGATGGTCAGTTGAAAAAAGGACACCTTACATTGATGGTCATTTGGAGAATTGCCCCTTACATTGATATGTTGAAAAAAGGACACCTTACATTGACGGTTCGTTTGAAAAGTGCCCCTTACAGTGATGGTCAGTTGGAAAAATGCCCTTTACATTGATGGTCAGTTGAGAAAAATGCCCCTTAAATTGACGGTCAGTTGGAAAAATACCCCTTACATTGATAGTTGAAAAAAGGACCCCTTACATTAATGGTCATTTGGAGAATTGCCCCTTACATTGATGGTCAGTTGAAAAAAGGACACCTTACATTGATGGTCATTTGGAGAATTGCCCCTTACATTGATATGTTGAAAAAAGGACACCTTACATTGACGGTTCGTTTGAAAAGTGCCCCTTACAGTGATGGTCAGTTGGAAAATTGCCCCTTAAATTGATGGTCAGTTGAAAAAAGGACACCTTACATTGACGGTTAGTTTGAAAAGTGCCCCTTACAGTGATGGTCAGTTGGAAAATTGCCCCTTAAATTGATGGTCAGTTGAAAAAAGGACACCTTACATTGACGGTTAGTTTGAAAAGTGCCCCTTACATTGATGGTCAGTTGGAGAATTGCCCTTTACATTGATGGTCAGTTGGAGAATTGCCCTTTACATTGATGGTCAGTTGGAGAATTGCCCCTTACATTAATGGTCAGCGGGAGAAAATGCCCCCTAAATTGATGGTCAGTTGAAAAAAGGACACCTTACATTGTTAGTTGGAAAAATGCCCCTTACATTGATGGTCAGTTGGAAAAATGCCCCTTACATTGATGGTCAGTTGGAAAAATGCCCCTTACATTGATGGTCAGCGGGAGAAAATGCCCCTTACATTGATGGTCAGTTGAAAAAAGGACACCTTACATTGAAGGTTAGTTGGAAAAATGCCCTTTACATTGATGGTCAGTTGGAGAAATGCCTTTACATTGATGGTCAGTTGAAAAAAGGACACCTTACATTGATGGTTAGTTGGAAAAATGCCCTTTACATTGATGGTCAGTTGGAGAAATGCCCCTTACATTGATGATGGTCAGTTGGAAAATTGCCCCTTACATTGATGGTCAGTGGGAGAAAATGCCCCTTACATTGATGGTCAGTTGAAAAAAGGACACCTTACATTGACGGTTAGTTGGAAAAAATGCCCTTTACATTGATGGTCAGTTGGAGAAATGCCCTTTACATTGACGATCAGTTGGAGAAATGCCCTTACATTGATGGTCAGTTGGAAAAATGCCCCTTACAGACACTAAAGCTGTCTATGGTGTCATGTTTCTTTCACTGCCAAGTGGTGATGGACCCAGAACTATGCTGGTGGCACCAGATGGGAAGCCAATCAGCCACAGCTCAAGAAACCCCCAAAAACCTCTTCTGGAGCCCTGGTTGAGAACAGCTACTTTATATTCTATATGCCATTCTATATAGGTGGTGGTGGGAAGGGAGAGGGGTTGAAGGAGCTGGGCCAGCACAAGCCGATATTAGACACTCCCAGAAGAAGAGAGGGCTATGCTAAAGAATGATCTCCCCTGGAGTAGTCCTACTTCCTTGTTCATAGACATATCACAAACGAATAAAAAAATAATTTATGGAAAAGAAAAACACTGCAAGTAAGCATTTAGGATGGTTGATTTTTCTGTGCTTTTACCTGCAGTTGTTAAGATGGTGACCAGGCAGGGGCGGACTGACCATTTGGAAACTCGGTCACTGCCCGAGGGCCCGGGGTCAGTAGGGAGCCCCATGAGATGCCCCTGGTACCTTTTTCATAGGCTTTTTTGAGTTTGGGCAAGGACACAGGGGCCCCATGATCCCCTATTGCCCAGGGGCCCCATGAGCTGTCAGTCCGCCCCCATGACCAGGTTTCTTTAAAGCTCACAAAACACTCTCACGACCTTAGGACATCATAGACATTGATCAGTGCCTATTATGAGGGGCTTCCTCCATCCCTGCGCTGAGTTCCCGGGTTTGCACGCCTGCTGTTCCTTTATGAGGGTTTACCACTTCCTCTGCTGGATCCTAAATTCATATTATGAACAGAAGGAGATTGGTGACACCCCGAGGGGAGCAATCACAAAGCCCAGATCTAGGAACAGGTGCCTTCAAGGGCCTCAGACTCCCCTCAAAACAGAAATTCCATTTTATAGGTGCTATCATTCTGCTATCGTTCACCTTATTTTGTCAATGTTCTTTTTTTTTTGTATGTATTCTGTAGAATAAAAGTGCCATTGTGTGACATGGTGTGTCAGTTTGAGAAGTTATTGGTGGGAGGGATCTGTGTCTCCTGTATTTCTTTGGGATCTATTTATAAAAATTTTATGTAGTCATTCCTCCAGTGAATCTGCATGTATGTTCATTCTGTGCAAAAACGAATGTTCTTTATGCTGTTGTCTCTTGTGAAAAAATGTTTTATTATGGCCACTACATGGAGCTTAGGACCATAGGAAATACACCATATAGCCAAAAGTATTGGTCGGCCGGCCGGCCTTTCACGC